TGGAAATTGTTCAGCATTTCATGATCTCTGTAATAGGCTATAAATCAAGATTGTATCTTAACACAACACCATGTTAGGGAGGCAAAAAAAGAAAAAAATAGTGCCGAAAACCAAATTATAACGAGTTTAGTTAAACATATGGATTAAAATATTTCAGATACTATAACACAGAACTGGATACTGGAAACAAGGGAAATGTTATACATTTCATCTTCTTTGATATGAGATATTATTCAAAATTCTATCTCAACCCAACTCGGTGTTAGAGGTAGAGAGTGGAGAGGGAGAGGTGTTAGAGAGTAGGAGAGGGAAAAAAATAGTGTCCAAAACCAAATGATAACGAGTTTATGCTAATATTATTACTTTAATTTTGACAATAGTAATAGCAGTATATAAAAAATAAAAATAGGATTAATATAAATGATAATAATAGCAGAAATTCTCAGGCATAATTGAAAATATATAATAATACACCATTATATAACATACCAACTGGAGACTTCCACATAAATACAATATTATATAGTCATTGGATACATCGACTAGTAAGGCTTTTGGGCTGAAGTAATGGTAAAATATATCCATGTCTTACAAAAAAAAATACTGCTAAAAAGCATTATTGTTTGATTATTACATTTAATAGGACTTCAAGAATCATTTAAATACAATTTCTTTTTCTTTCAAAATAATTATCGTTTTATATATATATATATATTTTTTTTTTGTTCTTCCCTACCTCGCCTTATAGGCTATACGGGATTTTTCCGGGCCGGGGGGTGAGGGTGGGGAATTTAAAATCCCCTCCGGCACCGGGACGCGAACTCGTACTTTTTTATCATCTCGAATCTTTGTTCTCCGTTTGCCAGGCAACTCGCGGTGCTGTGCACACGCTTTAGCTCATTCGGCCACCCCGCCCCCCCTCATATATATATATATATATATATATATATATATATAGAGAGAGAGAGAGAGAGAGAGAGAGAGAGAGAGAGAGAAAAGCTATAAGGCTGAAGTCTCCCAAAATTAATTCCTGGGTCCGCTGGTGGCTTCAGGTAAATAGATTTCGTCTCATGTGCTTGTAAACATCCAAGTCTTGAGATTTGTTCGGCGGGAGGTAGGCACCCGACAACTATTCCCTTAAAGTGCAGATTTCCTCAATTTTTTCATTGGGGTTTTTGAAGTGAAAACTTCTTTAGGCGTGTTTTGCACTATTTTATTAAAGATTTAAGTACTAGTTTTATTGAAGATACGGATTAAAATATATCAGAAACAAAAAATTAGACCTGCATAATGTAAGCAAGGAAATTGTTTAGCATTTCATCCTCTTTATAATGGACTATTATTAAAAATTGTATCTTAACGCGATGCCATGTTAGAGAGGTGAAAAGGAAAAAATAGTGTCGAAAACCAAATGATAATGAATTTTATGGAAGACATTGATTTAAATATCTCAGAAACTAAAAATTGGACCAACATACTGTAAGTGAGGGAAATTTTCAGCATTTTATCATCTTCATAATGAACTATTATTTATAATTTATATTTTACATTATTAATCTCACCTTATTGATGTTTTCACTTCTATCATGTGGTCTAAAGTACAAACCTTATTTTTTTAAAATTATGATATATAATGTTTATACAAATAAAAATAAAAAAAGGATCAATTTATTACCATTTATAAAGGAAGGAGATGGTCCGGGGTGGCAGTCATAATAAGGCTAAATAGTGGCAAAACTATTTTATTAAAAGCCGTTTCGACCCGACTTTGCAGGTCTTCTTCAGGGAGGTGTGTTCAGTTAGGAGTTTCACTTAAAACTGAATTGGGTTATAAGTGAAACTCCTAACTGAACACTTTTAACTGAACACTGAACACTGAACACACTGAAATGGCTTTTAATAAAATAGTTTTGCCACTATTTATCCTTTTTATGACCTCCACCCCGGACCATCTCCTTCCTTTATAATGCAACGGTCAACTATTAAATATTCAATATTAACATTTATCAATAACGAAAAAATTATTTCAAGAATCTAGTAATCGAAAAACCAGAAATAGACAAAATCAAATAGCTTTAACATAATAAAGGATGAATGTAAATCAATATAAAATGAATTACAAAAAGCTATAAAACTATTAACATTTATAATTGTGGGTAATTGATTGACTGTCGTGAATAATGAAGAAAAGAATAATTGGAGTGATCAGTCAAATAAGAAGGCAAAAATAAATGATAATATTTATTTTTGCCTTCTTATTTGACTGATCACCCCAACTATCCTTCTCTTCATTATTAACATTTATAATTAAAAATACATACTACTAAGAACTAGAGAAAAATTAACTAAATTCCTTAGTATAAAAAAGTTAAAACCAAAATAGAATTAATATGAACCCTACAAAAAGAATTTTAATTTTCATTATAAAAAAAAATATCTGGTGCGGTAGGCGCATCACACAACTTTCAGTTACCGCATCCTTCTTAGCAGAAATAAGTATTTTCAGACAAAGGAAAGTGAAAGTAAAAATTATAGATGGTGCGGAACATTTAAAACAATTAATTACCATATGTTTTTCATAGCCGTCTAATGTATTATATTTATTTTGTTTGACACTAGCCATTTCCTTATATGACTGTATATTCCAATTATTTATTTAATTATAATAAATATTTAAGTGCCATAAAATATTTTTAATCCAACAAAAGCGCCCCTGATAAAGAAGGCCACTATATTTATTTATATTTCATTGTGGGTATTTTTATTTGTTTAATTGCCATTATTTATACGAATTTTAAGTTTTATATCGCTGTAATCTATACAATTAAATATTAAATAAGAAGAATGATAGCATTTATGAAAACCGTATATGTATATAATATATAACCGTATATGTACCCTGTCGGAGTACGCATTATATTAAGTTGATGTTATGAATGGAAGACTGTTCTATTCTTGGGCGATCTCGGACGCGCTCATATTTCTTTAGTCCCTATATTACAACTATTCTCCGATACGATCTCTTATTTCTCCTTTAGTTATTTATCAAATTCTTTCATATTTTATACTCAACTTTTTTATTTTTTTGTGCGAGTTCAATATGTTTCTTCTTTATCATTTCCGGAGAATCATTTTAGACCTAAATAAGCATTTTTTTCCTTGTTTTCTTCTTTATTCAATTATCAAATTCTTTCAAAACTTATATTTAGCCTTTTTTCATAACAATGGTAACAATTAACTATCAAATTAATTATTTAAAATAAACCAAATTAAAAATACTTTAGAGGAAGAAATTTTGAACATTGGACATTCAAGCCCTGTTAAGCGACATCAATGGAGATAAGACCTAAATTATATTAAAGAACACTTAATTATACATCGATATACCGAGTTTAATCAAAATTGTTAAGATTTATTTATGAAGAAATCGTAAAATGTGTTGTTTTGTGTAGCAAAATACACTGCGGCCAAATAGTAAAAATGTGTTAAATAGATGAAATAAAGTGCCACTTCCGGTAAGCTGATTTTGATGAAAAAGTTGCTGTAACATCACAGACATATACAAACCTTCAACATGCAATTTCACTTTTGTTTGACTTTTCGTTATTGAGCTAGACTTAACAGTGTTAACACACACACACACCGTTTTGCGAGACTTGGTTATTTGGTCTCTGGGGATCTCAAAGCATGTATTTCAGTTGAAAACTCAGATTTGAAAATTTTCAAATCGATTGCAATACTTTCTCTTACTATATATTTCATAAATAGGTAAGGAAAAGTAAAAAAAATAAATTTATTACTAAAATGTAAAAACAAATCTCAAGTAAATCAGTATAGTTTCCTAAAATATCAGTATAGTTTCCTTTAATCAGTATAGTATAGGGTACCTAAGAAAATACATATATATGCATACACATCATTATTATTTTATTTAAAACTGAATAAAATAATCCAATAAAAACCCGTTAAGTTTACAAAACTTATATAACCTCCCATTGTCATGTGTTTATTGCTTATCACATTTCAAAGCATTTATATTCTTAACAACAATTATATAAATTTTAACTCTCTTAAATGGAAATCAATGAAATTGATACAAGACCGTTTTAACATAACCCCGAAATTTCCTCCAACTTCTGGCCAAAATAAATGAGCTGTTTTTTGCATAATTAAAATAATTTTTTAAATAATAATTAGATTGAGGGTAGCAGGTAATAATATCCTTCAAACAGAATTGCTAAAGACAGAACCAAGTTTGTTCATTGATGTCAAAAATCTAAAACATGAGTGGAAATTTTCAATTTTAAGTGGACAAATTTTTTAAATTCCTGCATGAATATAAAGCTTCCCTACTTTCAGTAACCAAGCAGTAAAATTAATTAACCCAATATTTCTGAGGTTTTTGTTTTTAAAATAATCTCATTTTAATATGATAACCAGTGAGGCAGAAGACATTTCGCAGTAGACAGTAGCTTGTTGACATTTTTTTTAAATATTATTTTTGATAGTCAAATTTTAATATCAATATAAAAAATCTGGTGTCACAAAAAGTGTGCCTCACTTAAAAAATTACTGATCTTGAATTTCCTACTTTTCTGTTGTTTATATAAACTTCTTTGTTGATTTTGAGGCCTTCTATCGCTCATATAAAAATTTCTCTCTACTTATGGGGCACCCTGTCTGTATATCAGTTAAGACTACTTTCATATCATAGTCTAATTTTTGCCCTATATTTCACTAGTTAGCTCTATCCACAAAACCCTTGTCTTATTCTATAAATATGAGTTGGAAACCTAACATAGAGGAATAATTTGAACAAACAAAAATGTTTTAGAAAAATATTTGATATAAAACTAAGTTTTTCTTAAGAAAATTTTCAAATAAAAACTAAATTGGAAGAATTTGTGTAGTTATAGTTTTTTTTTTTTAAATTATAGTAATAAGACATGATGAAACTCACATTTTTATTTATTTAAAAAAAATATAGAAGATAATAATACCATCTGGGGTAGTTGTTGCAGTCAACTTGTGTTGAGTAGTGGGGGGTTGCTGCTGCGGTCCAGAAGCAACTTTGTTTCCCTGCCAAGGTGGCTGGGGCAACCCTCCACCCTCTTCACCTTCTCCTGACGGAGTGCTACCTCCATAATTTGACCATTCACTCTTTACTGGTGCAGCTCCACCCCCTCCTGCAGCAGCTGCAGACCCAGGTGGTTCGACCTTCACGCTTAGGTCTGCAAAGAAAAAATTCATTAATAAAAACTTACAATTAATTTATTGATACTACTAATAACAGGGTGTATAAAAAAAAAATTACCGTTTTATCCAAGTCAAAATTTCAAAGGACTGTAAATATTTGAATCCTATTTAATACTAACCAATACTTAATAACCCCTTTAGAGCATTCTCTAAGCTGGTTTAATCCCATTTGACTTCTTCATAAAAAGCCTCAGTTTAATTATTTGTTTCAAAGAAGATACATGAGCGTGTCTTACGAAATTATCATAATTTTAAGGCATTACGAGAAAAAGAATGCTGTAATGAAAAAATGAGAAAAAGAATGAGAAAAAGTTGCTGAAGCAACTCGTTAAATTATTAAATATTAAGAAAATCTGGTGCACGCAACACACAACTTTCACTTACTGCTCATCAACTTTGAATAGAAATTATTTTCTGGCCATGTTAGGCTATTATAAAATTTTTAAATTGCATTTTTAAGCGAGCTAAAGCTAAAAAATCTGGTGTGCGCAACACACAACTTTCACTTACCGCTCTACTTTGAATAGAAATTATTTGCTGGCAATGCTGGGCTATTATAAAATATTTTGAAGTGCATTTTAAACGGAGCTAAAGCTTAAAGCCCCACCTCTCAAAAAGTGTATACTTTTTGAGTTATTTGAAATTTCATTGTACCATCTCTCGTAACTTTTTTTCCAGCTTCTTTTCGTTGAAGTATGTTATACAGATAAATTTAAAGGGTTTCGAGAAAATGACTTTAGCGAAGTTTCATAGGAATCGGTACATTCGTTTAGGCGCTACAGTCTATAGCAACGCAGGTTTTTCTGCATTTTTATTTTTTTCTCCTTTATCAACTCATCAAATTCTTTCAAAAGTTATATGTAGCATTTTTTTCATAACTCTGAATAATGCGAAATGGTTAACTTTTTAAAATAAAACATATTAAAGGTACTTTAGAGGAAGACATATATGAACATTGGGCATTTAAGCCCTGTATAGTGACATCAACGGGGATGATATTAGACCTAAATGATATTAAAGAACACTTAATTATACAATGATATACCGAGTTTGATCAAAATCATACCGAGTTTGATCAAAATCGTAAGAGCCGTTTTTGAGAAAATTGTAAAAATGTGTTTCAGCGTTCATATAAAGTGGCACTTCCGGTTAGCCTATTTTAACGAAAAAGTTGCTGTCACATCCGGCCCATATACAAACCTTAAATACTTAATATCAGTTTCGTACTACTTTTCGTTTATGAGCTAGACTGTTAACACACACAGACACACACACAGACCATTTTGTGACACTTGGTTATTTGGACTCAGGGGACCTCAAAACATGTATTTCCGTTGAAAACTGAGATTTGAAAATTTTCACGATCGCAATACTTACCCTTACTATATATTACATATATACATAAGTGAAAGTAAAAATTACAGCTAACAAATCATAAATACCCTTAAAATAACAAATATTTATATCTATTTATTATATCACCGGTTGATTATGGATTGTACGATCCGTGGATTATGAATTTTATGACTGTTAGTTATTAAACTGTTATTTTCTATTGCAAACTTTACTAAAACGGAATTAAGAGATTTGCATTGTCTGTCATAGATAGGTCAAAAGTTGTCACACTAATTGTAAGTGGATATTGCTGGAATATCACAAAAGGAAATTTCATCAAACTACTCACCAATTTAATTTTCTAAAAGGATACATGATGTTTTTCGGAATAAACAAATGATAAGACACCTAAATATTTAAATATATCAGATCTAGAGTTATTAAACTACAGTAAATATATTTTAGATTATAAACATATCTATGAAATATTTTTATATTTCACATCTTCTTTCACACAACTACAATAAGATAGTAGTGGATGCTGTTGGAATATCACAAAGGGAAGATTCATCAAATTATTCACTAATTTAATTTTCTGAAACGTTACATGACAATATTTCGGAATAAACAGAGTGGCAATTCCGGTAAGCCGATTTTAAGGAAAAAGTTGCCGTCACATCTAAGGCATGTACCTATCTTAAATACATAATATCTATTTCGTATGACTTATCGTTTTTGAGCTAGACTGCTAACACACACACACACAGACCGTTTTTCAGAACTTGGTTATTTGGACTCCTGGGTACCCCAAAACATGTATTTCCGTTTAAAACTCAGATTCAAAAATTTTCACAATCGCAGTACATATCCTTACTATATATTACATATATATGTAAGTGAAAGTAAAAAGGTGTTCTTGAAGAGCTCACTGCATGCAAAGGAGATACGACATTATAAAGAAAGAAGGGCTCCAGGCGACTATTAATGGATATTGATGAGGTTCTGCAGGGAGCTATTGAGTTAAATCGGTCCACAAGTACTCGTGAACTTGCCAAGGAGTGTGATGTGTCGAAAGATACTGTTAATCGCCATCTACTCTCTATGGGGAAGGTGATAAAGAATGTCCAGTGGACCAGACGTGATTGTAGTCTTTAAGGAGCCATTTAAGTTTGTTAAGAGGTAGATTTTTAATCATATCATAATGAATATTGTCAGAACCAGGTGTTGTACCTTTGACATAAATTAGAATATATTTTATTTCTTAAATTGAAAAAGGAAGGTTATAAGATAAGGTATTTTCATTTATTATAACTGCAAATTCTGTTTCATCAGGATAGGTATTATTTGTTTCGGAGTTATAGATTCTATCAAAACAATCCACGAATGTGTTTGCAATTACTAACTGGTTATTAGACAATTGTCCGTTGACTGTTATAGTGAAGAGGGAAAATGGAGGATTTCTGGGGAGTTTATGGACTTCGTTCCAAACTTGTAGAGACATTTATGGAACTTTAATTTTTTTCCAAGAGTTGGCTTTGTACTAATTGAAGTTTTCTGCATGCGACTGATTTTTTTTCCTTTCTGGTGTTGAAGAGCAGGAGAAGATTAGAGATGTCTAAAAAATTATTATTTTACCCAGCATGTTAATCCCCATTATCTTGGATTACCCCTAGAGAATTGTAGCCGTTTAGGTCCCCAATAAATAAAACAGGACGAGGAAGTTGGTTGTAAATATCTAAGAGATATTGAGAGTCATTGAACGATCTTGCGGCAGGTATAAATTGCAAATTGAAAAGGTCAAACCATGGTAAACTCTGACTGAAACAGATCAAAGATGGACGTTATTGGAATTAATTCTGAATATATAAATTTATGAACAGCTATAAGAACTCCATGGTGACTATGGTTTGGATTCGACTATCTTTCCTATATATTTCAAAATTTTAAAAGGTTAAGTTGTCTTTAACATTAAGATGAGTCTCTTGAAGAGCAAAGCAAAGTGGGTCGATATCAGATATTAATATTTTTAAATCATTAAAGTGGATTTTTGAACCATTGCAATTTCACTGAATTAACGACATGGATCAGAATTGTTTTAAATGAATATGACACAATACATATTATACTGTGCTATTTTTTCTTTTATTTTTTAGGTTTTCTTTTTTGTAAGTGACCTCGGAGTAGCCATTTTCTGACTTCGGCGAATCGACCTCAATGTCCTTGACACCGCCTTCAGAATATCCTTTGTCCAAAGGTTCCTAAGATGAAGACGTGGAGGGTAAGAATTGAGAAATAGGTGTAGTGAGGGAGGAGGCCGTGGGAACAGAGGGAGTAAGGGAGAGGGAGGAAGGCAAGAAGGATGAAGATGAAGAAGAGGAAGGAAGAAGATGAAGAGGAGAGGTTAAAGGAAGAGTGGAGTAGGAAGGAAGAAGGCTGAGCGGGGTACACTGCTGAGGAGGGAGTTGGTGACCATGGTCCATCATGCCTTAGCTACAGCTGATTGTGATGTGCTTGGTTGAGGGTAGAAATTATTTGATGTTTATTTGGTGATTTGGAGAAGATTCAAATTTGAACAATGTATCTGTTTACGTACCTGTTACCTGAGTTTTTAGATTTAATAACTTCCAAGAATAACTTATTAAATTATAGGAGTTTTTCTAGTTTGTAAGCATTTTTAGCTTAATTATAAGAAACTTTCTTAGTAAACTGAATGGTTTAATTTCTTTATTCATCTGATAAATAGGATATTTTTTATTGAAACTGCAATGTTTTTGACCACAGTTGGTACATAAGGAGTCTTTGGTGCATTTTTGATCAGTATGTTTTTCTACACCACACTGTGAACAGATAATTGTAGGATATGGTGTGAAAACGTAAGATATATATAGCACCTAATCGGATTAGGAGTGTACATTTGAATCTTAATGTTTTGATAACCTATATTTTAAGAGCTTCAAGTGGTAATGGAGACGGAAAAGTTACAATTTATGAATTTGTGAATTTTTCTTTACCATTTATTTTTATTTTTATTCTTTGAATATCCATATTTTTCTATTTAGTTCTTCTATGATTTCATTTTTTTATAAGTATTGGAAGTCAAAGCATCTTATAATTCCCTTACTAGAATTTAAAGTAGTGTGTGTTTTTATAGTTATATTAAATTGGTCAGCAAATCACTTACAATCTTAATGTTACTGTGACTGTTTACTATTGCTAGTTTCAATAAGTAAATTCCCATCCCTCAATTTCTTAATATTTTTAACCTCTCGAACTAAATAAGTTATAAATTTATTTATAAAAAAGGGGGATACCCTCTGCAATCCTTCATCCCCTTCCCTATTTATTATTAAATAAGTAGGAGTATTTTTAATTGCTTCATTTACTTGAAGAGGGTCTGGTGGGGTTTTTATTCGACCTTTTTTTCTATATTTGATTGAGCTATGAATTAGCCCATCCATTTTACATTTTAGTCCTATGGTATAATTATTATTTTTTAAATTAAAAGAAAAGAAAATGAATAAATAAATAGAATAAAAGACAACAACAATCTATATTAAAAATATATTTATAAATGTCTGTAAGTTAAACAAAAAGGAAAGAAATGAAAAATATTCTTATCTCGATAGATGAAAACCGCTGTTTAATTCCATGGAACACCGTAAATACACAACCTCTTCTCTCTTTTAAGTCTACTATCTAATTGACTAATAAAACTTTTAAAATAATTATCAGCTGTTTATTAAATTAAGAAGTGTTTTTCTATACTCTGTGGTACAGACCCCTTCCCTTTTTATCAAATTATTAACATTCGCCTAAAACTTCATGAATAGCTTCATCCCATCGTAACCTACAACTAATTTATTTAAAAAGCTCTTAGAATTGGGGAGTGTTTAATCTGGAGATCAGCAAATTTTGACTATTTAATTAGGTACTAAAAACTAGTAAATACCCATTTGCTTACCACTTGGATTGTAAGAGAATTTGATCACAAAATCGAGAAAAATGGTGGCCTACAAAAATATTGGGCTGTTTAGCCTATGTAATCTCGTTATTATTTGAGTGTAGGTCACATCAAATAGCTCAATGTTGTTCAAGGCCACCTTTTTTTATGATTTTGTGTTCAAATTATCTTACAATTGAAGTGGAAAGCAAATGGCTAGAGGGTATTTATGAGTTTTTAGTACCTAATTAAATAGACAAAATTTACCAATCTCCTGATTGTAAACGCCCCAATTTTGAGCTTTTCATAAATAAAATAGTTATAGGTTACGATGAGATGAAGCTAATAACGAAGTTTCAGGCAGATGTTAATAATTTGATAAAAAGGGGTTTGTACTATGGACTACTACTATTTTTACTCACAATGGCTAAAATAATGGTGGTTACCTTGTAGGATAATTTGTCCTGCCGGCTCTAGCAGTACATCCAAATAAACAAACAACTTACCTAACTGCATAAATGTAAGCTTATTTATTTATTTATTTTTTTTTTTTGTCATATGAATTTCAAAGTAAACTAATAAATCAAAATTACCTTCAGGGCAAGATGGGGACCTCCACAGATCAGGTGGAGGTTGGGCAGCTGGTGGCGGAGTCTCCACAGCAGCGGTTCTGTCAAAGTCATCATTGTGTCGGGAATAAGGTGGTGGTGAGAAGTGAGGTGAAGTATATAATGGTGAGTCCCCTTTCGACCCATCCCTTAGTACGCTGGCCCTCACTAATCTTTTACCTGAAAGCAAAATAATCAATAATGATATTAAATCCATCAATCTAATTCTTTTCTATAAGGAATTGGTTAAAAGCTAAACTTACACCTTCATTCTTGCCTAAGAGGGCTATAATCCTTTGATCAATAATAAACATTGATTGTCTACCCAATCCAACTTCTGTTAAAGATTATACATGATGTTGGATAATATTAATAGTCTCTATATAAGATACAGAAAGATATACAATTTTTAGAAGAGATGAAATATTTATATATTTTATTTTTTTACAGTTATGATTTTTTTATGATTGATTATCAATTTTGAATGTAGATTGTTTACTTGTCATATCTGCCACAAAATAATATAATTAAATTAAAATTGGCTATTTACATTCAAATCCTAAAAAATTCATTAGCAGCCAACTAAAATCAAATTCTAAATCTTTAGGCTGACCGAAAATTGAGCGCAGGGCAGGTACAGCATAGGGCAGCAGAGGAGCAACAGAGAGGAGACTTCGATAATATTATTGAGGCCACATATCTGATATCATTTTTATTTCTATTTTTTAAAAGTAATAAATACTCATAGAAAACAACATAATAAAAAAAATAAAATAAAATACGATAAGATCCCAGCCCAGGCATAATATAGTAGCAACATGTTTGGTGTATCAAATTTTCATGATATTAAAACGTTTTTTAACATAATCAAATGAAGGTGGACACAACACAAAAACCACCCCAAAAATATAGAAGAAATATTAAATCAGTAATATCGTTTTCCAATAGATATGCTTAATTTAGATTTTGTTCACCCACCACTCTATATTTAAGATATTAAAACTCGTTGTACAATATTGAGGATATTTAAATAATATATTGCGTAATCAGATTAATTTTATTATAATTTCTTAATTGTAAGTGGGTATTTTGTAATACTAAATAGAAAACCATTCCGTATTTCATTACATTTTTTTTTTTTTCATTTATTTATTAATTTTATCAAATTATAAAAAAATAAAAAAATCAGAAGAAAATAAATTGAGAAAATATAAATAGCAATAACGTCATGCTTAATTACTTCTATTCTCTAATTCAAATATTAAGTCTATCCTCTATTGGCGATCAAATTTGAAATGTCTAGACCTTGAGGCTTCTAATCTTTATTCTATTGCGAAATTCTTGTATTGTATTTTTTAATCATTTTAATATTGAAATGAATTTAGCGCTTAATATCAATTTCAAAAGATACATGAATAGTATTTTTTTTATATATATAAATTATAGAATAAAGCGTTCAGAAATAAAAATACACGAAATTTTTATATTACCTCCATCACCAAATCTCTATGAAGGGAAGTATTATTAAAGTTTATAATTAAATTACTGACATAATATTATCACACTTAGTTCAGAGTTGTCTTCGCTAATTAAATCTAGCTAAATATTTGACTAGTTCTGATGGACATGGACACTGAGCTTCGAGTACAAATCCGACGAAGAAAACAATATACAATGTATGCCTTCAGTATTATTTTAAAAAACAGAAGGGAGAGAAACTTCAGAATTTTTTAACAAAAAGAAACTCAACCGGCCGCAAATTGAAAGCAGAGAAGGTGTAGCAGAGGGGCAACAGAGGACCTAGTTCAGAGCTGTTCCAGCGTAGGCAGGGCCATGGTAGGACTCTCTGTCCAAGCCATGATAGGGAGTGTCTCTCTGACCTGTTGTATTTACAACACAGGTTTATAAGTCCTCTGTTCCTCAGTTCTTGCTCGTGTTCCTTTCTTCAAACATTCCGACATGAAAATAATGAAAATCATTCAACTTCGTTTTCCCTTTAGTTCATCTCCAAATAGTTGAAACATTTATGGAACTGCTTAAATTGATTCACCAGTTGAAAAAATATAAGATGAAAAATACAAAAATTTGTATGATAATGGTAATACGAGCGAGTGAAATTTCTGTGAAGGCTGATGAAATTGAACAAATTATACTTCTTTCCTTATGGTATCTATTATAATTTGTCATTAATATAATAACAAATGAGGATTGAAAAATAACTGATAATTCAAATTTCTCTATAACAAAAAGAAAAAAATATATATATATTAAGTTGTCTGGAAAATAATGCAGGATATTTAGATTCCCTCTATAGTTAATAAAATTCTATATTTCTATATAATAATTATATTGATTCTATATTTCAATAAAATATTTAATATTTATATTGATTCTATATTTCTATATACGTAATATTTAATAAAACTCTATATTTAAGAAAATTTCCCTATATATAACAAACTGTTTACGTTTACTGGATTATTCATTTATATGAATGTCAACACTTCTTAAGATCAAAATAAATAGCTATTTAAATAACTTGCCAGCTCTGATGGGAATTAGGAACATACTGAGTTGGGACAGCTCAGAAATCGGTTCGCTGTTGCCCCTCTGTTACACCTATGTTTCACCTCTGCTGCCCCTGTGATGCGCCTACCCTGCACTCAATTTGCGGCCATTCTTAATGTAATGTTCAGGATCAGATTGTACACGGCCAGCCTTAATGTAATGTTCAGGATCAAATTGTACACATGTTCTGATCTCATTTAATAGAAGGAAAAACTTCTCCTTTTTTTCACAATGGTTTTACTAAATTAATAATCAAACCCATGTTGTGAGGAAAATGATAAGCAACAGCAGTTTCTTGCTCCTAAATCCAAAATAACAAAAAAACCCATGCTGCTCATCTTTTATCTGTCAAGTCCTCTTTTCATAAACCAACAAGGTGCTACCTACACTGTCACTTCATGGTTTAATTTCTATTTCTATTTGTTTATGTACATTAATTTTGGAATACATTTCTTCTGGATTACATAATATTAAAATGAACTTACGAGGAGGATCGCCATAATAACCAGCGACATATGGCATATATGGTGTATAAACTGAGGAAGAGGTCGAGGGTGGTAGTTCCTCAGAGCTAGTGGCTCCTTGTTGTGTCGTAGTCGATCCCACCTTCTTACCACTGTTCCCGGACTGAGGTGACTGTGGAGGGTCGCTTGAATTTCCCGCAGCTGCCGCAAGTTTCTCATGTTCTATCGATAGTCCTTTTACCTGTACAATAATATTAAAGAAATGTATGAATAAAACTTTGATGGAAGACAACGCTGTAATTAGAGGCTTTTGTTAATTGAAAGGTTTATTTTTTTAAATTGATGTAACCACAAAAATGAAGATAATAAAAAATAAATTAGAATAATAATAACACTCTCATTATAACAGAAAAGAAGAGTCACTTGTGATTGATTTTCCAAATTTACTAAATATGTTGAAGCAAATTAAGTCAATTTGCAAGAAACTCAAATGGAGAATTTCTCCATAACTGGAAAGACTTTGATATCAATGTTTCGTATCAGTAAATTTTAGAGGTATTCATTCTTCAAAATTAATTAAGTATTAATTTGGATCTCAATGTCAAACATATTACTTTCAAATGAATGAGGTATTTTGTTGAAACCTGGTAAGTATATGTTATCATTAGCCAAATGAAGTTTTGGTGTGGATATATTAATCCTAACCTTCTGTCTTCCCTATGTCAAGAGGGGGAAGAGAGTTTGCCTTTAATAACACTTTTCAATAGCTTGAATGATTATGGTAAAATAGATCAAAAATATTGGTGATACAGTTATTAATAAATAATAATGTTAGAATTTTATGTTTACTTTTTCGAAGGAAACTCATTCTTATTTATTTTGTTTAACAGACAACTCAAAAAAAAATCTAGTGTAATGCATAACACAACTTTTGCTTATCATCCTACTTTCAATAGAAATTATTTTTTCAAATATTAAATAAACCTTAAGAATGCTCCACAGAGGCTGATAATTGAGGCAATTGGCTGATAACCAGCTCTCACTAAATAACCTCATTACGAAACCTAAAACAGCCTCGGAATTGATCAGTCTCTGAAGGAAACGATCAGGCGCCCCCAATGGTAAGAACATAGACATAGGATATTGGAACAACTTGTCCTTACACCAACCTTCTAGACCAGGTAAGTTTATACAAATTGGACATCATTCCAATCCAGGAAATCCGATAGACAGGTCAAGTCAAGGCATTATGCAGAAGAAGAACCAGACATTTTACTGTAAACAGGCATTTTACGGCTACCGTGAGAATACGCACAAGGTTGGTGTGGGATTCATTGTTTGAGGTAAATTCAGATAGCTTGTGATTGGATGGAAGCCTGGGAGTCCCAGAATATGCTTTATCAGAATACGGGAGATATTCTACTATTACAGTATAATCTGTGAGCATGCTCCCATAAAGTAGCTGCCAACAAAGAAATAGACAGGTTCTATGACTCTCTTGAAAGAACTTTGCCCAAGTTACAGCATCAAGATAATTGCTGGAGACCTCAATGCTAAGGTCAAGAGGGAGGAAATCGATCATCCTACTATAGGATGTTACAGCCTTCACGGGGAAAATAACGAAAATGGTCAACATCTCGTCAACTTCGCTGCATCCAAAGGAATGGTTCTTGGAGGGTCTCTATTTCCGCACAGGAGGATACATAAGGGAACATGAACATCGCTTGACAAAAAAACTGTCAATCAAATTGACCACTTTCTAGTGAGAGCCAGACATAAATCCAACCTGCTGGCTGATCTAGGCTCGTAGAGCGAACGTAGACTCTGACCACTATCTCAGCATTGCTCACCTGGCAGCCAAGATAAAAATAGAGGGTTAGACTTTTGGAAAAAGAGGGAAGAGATTTAACCTGGACAAATTTAAAGTACCAGACACCAGGGCGTTATATGAAACAGCTGGATGGAGACCTTCGTGCTCATAGAATTAATGGTAATACCAACCTTAGGTGGAAAGTCTGTGCTCAGGAAATGGAGAAGAACTTAGAAGATATCTTGAGTTGGCAGGACAGAGAAACCAGATTCCATTGGTTTGGTGAGGAATGTGAAACTGCTACAAACCAGAAGAACCAAGCATACAAAGCCATGGTTAATAAAGTCACAAGGAGAACCTTTGAGAAATATTGATTGAGAAGATGCGAAGAGAAATGTTTGCATTGCAGAAGAAAAAGGCAGTAGGAGGAGCTGGAGAAAACATTTCAGGAGATAAGGAATTTCAATAATTTTATAGGATCCTCGATGACATCAACCAATTGAAATGTAACAAGGCACCGGGTGTTGATGGACTCCCCGCAGAACTCATCAGGTGAGATGGAAACAAACTGGTGAAAGATATGCAGGATCTCCTCATCACAGTTTGGACGATGAAGTTATACCAGACCCATGGACTTGGGCGCTAATCTGTCCTATATTTAACAGGGGCGATATCAACTTATGTGCTCCAACTATAGAGAGATCTCCCTCCTATCTGCCAGATGCTGCCTCTATAGTTTGAATGGGGGAAGAATCGTACGATACTCTGAAGCATTCTAAGATCTGTAGCATGCTGCATAGTTTAAATCGGTGGAGAGCAGTTAGAGGAATTCCAATCAGAAAAATGATTACGCCAGGGAGACACTTTAGTGTCCTTCTCTTTGATCTTGTGCGCGAAAAAGCAGTAAGAGATGCTGGCAAACAGACCAAAGATAACATAACATCTTTAATAGATCTGTACAGCCCCTTGCATACGCAGATGATATAGATATCATGGAACACTCCTTTCAGGTTGTATCGGATGCTTTTTTCCTTGCTTTAGTGGGTCCTACAAAAAGACCAGGCTTGGAAGAAGTCAACGCTGCCAAAACAAAATACATGGTTACAGAAGAGGTACCTAGGCCTGGAGAGGAGGTCTAGAATACCAATTCGAGAAAACTAATGTTTTTGTATATCTCAGCTCATTGGTAACCCAAGACAATGGCCCTGAATAAGAGGTCTGGCGTAATAATAATAAAAAGTATAGTTTCATATTTTATTTCTCTCAGTTATTTTCTTTAGTAGCTGACTACTTATGCTAAGGTGACAAGACATCCAGATTATCATATATTTTATTTTGCTCCCCCCCCCTTCCTTGCGTTTTACTACAGGGCCAGAGGGTGAGGGCAGGAGATTTTTGCCAGAGTTAATAGGCCCCCCTTGATACCGAGAGGCAAACTTGGTATTATTTTATCACATTAACTTATATCCGGGTTGCCAGGCAACACACGGTGCTGTGCACAAGCATTAGTCCACTCGGCCACCCCACCCCTCAGATTATCATTATATAAAATTAATTATTGTAACAAATTTGAACTATTGTATGAACTTAATGAATGAACCAAATTATAATCAAGAACTTCCCTCTCCCTTACAGTGCCCTGCTTTACCAGTATTAAAATCTGATCTCTTTAACTTATGCAGACTAAAAAATGTAATAGAATAAACATGTAAAACTGTTACATATGATCCTTTACACTAACAGTAAAGATATTTCATATGTGAGTGAAGTATTATTATTATAATTTTAATACAATGTCCCTCCAAGGGTATAGGCCTCCAGATAGCCAGCTATGCTGGTCTATTAGCAGCAACAGCTTTCCATCTATTCCCAAATGCAGTAGGTCTGCCTAAACATTATTGAACCATCTTTTCCTAGAATGCATAAATCTTTGGGCACCTCCTGACTGTCTATGCATCAATTTTGTAGGGAGTCGACGGCTCCTCATGACTGAGCCACCTCTTTAATGGGTGCATCAAACGGGTAAAGCAGGCAAATGATATAGGCTAGAGCCTCATGGCCTGTCTGGAGGTTTAGGAGGTAGCCCCTTCACCCGATGACATTAATTCCTTTTTTATCACATATTTATCATAAATAATTTATGTATGGGTAAATTTAACTAAAAATGAGGATAAAGGTTAATTATTTTTATCCATAAGACCTTATATAGAAAAACATATAAATGGTATTGACAATAGATAAAATTAATTCAGTAACTCTGAATAGGACACAATTCCCTAACGTCACAGAAGAGCAGTATGAACAGAATTATCTCTCAGAATTAAAGTGACTTAGTATTATTTTAAAAGCATACTACCATTATAATAATAATTGGGAGTTACGATTTATAAATGGTCTGACATTGTTAAATTAGTCTAGGACAGAGGACTCCAACCATTTTTATAACTATGTGACGTGTCATACTAAGGGATTCCCATATTGAGGTGTGCCACAACTATACCGTTTTCTCTTTCTTAAACCCTGCCAGCTTTACAATTACAGCTATGTCGTATAAGCACTTGTACATTAAATTGTTTTCCCCTTTTGTAAATTTTGAGAACATATCTACAAAATGAAAAAAGTTAATTGCGATTTTTACAATAAAAAGTGTGTACAGTGATAATTATTTTGTACATATACATAACATGCTGAGTCTAAAATACCCATTCATCCCACATTGAGAAATTTTTATTAATTTATAAATTTATTTACAACTGTAAAAAAAAAATAATTAGAACCAGCTAATATACTGAACAATTAATTTTTTTATTTATTTATTGATATTTATAACTGTATTATAAAAAAAAAAAAAAACAACCAGTAAATGTGCACTCAGGAATATAATAACATGAAATCGCTTGTTGAGAAACTACCCACTGATAGCACTCAAATAATAAATTTACACAAGGAGATCATGAGGCCACCTTCTTTTTAGCCGCCTCGGGGGGTTATCAGGAATCAAGGAGGAAGCAAGTTTTGAAACAAGAGGGTTTGGATGGTTCTGCAGTATGTTATGGAAGGATAGGTATCTGGATTGGGCCAAATCGGAAACATATGGAACATTAAGGTCTTTATGGATGATTTTTTTTGTGACAAAGTAAGGAGCGTTGAGGATTTTATGAAGGATTTTGGATTGTAAGGATTGGATAGAAGAGGAATTCGATGACAATTAAAAATAGTTTCAAAAAGGCATGAAGATAAAGGTTATCCAATGATACATATAAAAAAAGGTATTTATAGTCACTGAATTAATGGATTTAAATGTACATTAAGTTTCTCCTAAAATTATTTATATAATGTTTTAATGAAAGATGATTGTATGTATGGAATATTTAAGTTTTTATGTCAGTGATGTACGGGAAATAGGTCCTAAAAATCTTAATACTTTTGATTGAAATAGTTGCAGTTTCACCAAGTTATTTCTACCTTAAACCCAAATCGATTTCAGTAGGTGAGTATAAATCGTAAGTTTTTAATTAGTGGTAATTTGGATCATTTAATAAAAAGATATAGCAATAATTTCAGTCATAAGTTAAATTTTTGTGTTGGTTCCAACTTAGTGCTACATTGAGTTGGCCCTTGGGCTGCCAAGTATCATGGGCCAACTATAAATAAAGTGTTGGATTTGACAAACCAGAAAAAATAAGATAAAACATATTAATATAAATATAAATTAATATAATTAATGCTTCTATTGTTTTAATATTGTATAAGAGAAACTATTCAAAGTTGAACACAAATTGAATCATTGAACCTAAACGAGTAAGACTTCTAATTTCATCTGAATTGTAAATCTAAAAAGAGAAAAAATACAGTAATAGAAATCACATCAAGCAAACAAAAAAATTCAACAATGTTATGTCATTTTTTATTAAATTAGATCTACTGTTAAGTGTCTTTCACATAAGTAAGTAATAGAAAAAGGGAACCAAATTGCAATGGTCTTTAAGAAATGTGTCAATATTTTTTATTAACTGCAATAAAAAATGAGCCAAAGATATTTCACTGAAATTGAGCTGCAGTGTTCCAACATTCTTTAAGGCCCATCTAAACTGCCAGATCCGACCTGACAAGATGGGTAAGGAGATAGGAGGGTAGCCCCCACCACTAGTGAGTTGTGTTTAAACCCTGGGTCTGTACATGAGCTCTTTAACCAGGCAAATTATAGGTCATAATGGCTAAACGCATTGAAACATTAACTCTTTTAACATTCTCAAATCTAGCGATGCATGTTTGAATACAACCTGGATAGATTGAAATTTATATTGTAAACGAATGAATCTCGACCTTCCTACTCTGGCCAGAATAAGTTTGATTGCACCTCTAAAACATTGATCTGATCACTAAAGATCTGATGCATCTTATAAACACTTGAATTAATTCTGTCATTACTTCTATCTCACTATCACTAACACTTCGGCTAACCATGTTATAATATTTTCGATTACAATAAAAATAAAATATAAACAGATGGAACATGTGAAAAATCACATATTTCATGTCAAAAATAAGAGCGAAGCAGTGGGGAGATCGAATGTTGATAGGAAATTCCACTCAACATGTCTGGCCAATTACACGACCACACACACTTCCTACCTCCAACTTGTGAGGTAACGTCAGGTCATCTAAACGACCCTTGATCTCTGTAAATTTGTTTTGAATTATGAAGGGAAAGTGGAATGTGTTTTTGTTCACACAATAGTATTAATCCAAATTAGATGTAATAAAATAGTTATTCAATATCTCATGGAACTAATTCAAGTGTTGTAGAATCTGACTCCGGAGTGAATTTTTTATTTTTAACCATGTATTTGCAAGTCCTTTAGAAGATTTCTGGAGATTATTTTGAAGCTTTTTCTGCTATAGTCCAACTTGTAAATCATATAAACTTCTTGGAACAGGTCAGTTACTTTTTGCTCCCACCTTGCATTTTTCCATTCATTGCTTTGGGGAGTTCTTTAAACAGATTTCCAGTTATTTCATCAATTAAGTAATAATTGTTTAATATTATAATCTACCACAGAAAACAGAAAGACCTCTAAAAATGTAATAATTCTTGACTATTACTCGTGTCAGTTTCAGCCAAATTCACCTCATCGTAAACTAGCACCAAGGCATAGAGGTTGCAGGGCAATGCTTTAAATGAATAATATACTTTGAGGAACAAAAATACAAGAGGACCTAATATTTTTTATAGTTGTTAAATAATCAGGAAGCAGTAATTTTAATAATAATTAAAAACTTCTCGTTTATTTAACAACTATTCTAAGTAGAACAGTCGACTAACTATCTTCAATATTTTTTTTTTACTTGCACATTAATTTACTTTCACTTTTGTAATTTTTATTTATATATTTTTTAAAGATATTTGAAAGTCTTTTTCAAGGTTATTATTTTATTTATAAACGAAATGGTTGTTCTGTACTGCAGGTACTGTAGTCACCAACTGCCACACTTTGATAATTGGATAAAAAGCAGTATAATTGAAATGTAGACACGTAAGACAGCAAGATTATGTTTTTCATCCATTTAAACTTGAATATCGAGAACAAGGGGATCGAGAATAGAATGGATCCAATGTAAGTGTTGCCTAAGCCAGCATACAAGTTTCCTCTTCCTCAAACATCTACAGGCCTCTCCCCTTGAATCAAATTATTTCGAACCATGGGTGATTCCTATGGTAGGAAAATAGTACGACTATATTCATGAGGTTTTGTATATATATTAGAATTGTATTTGATTCAATTATGTTTAATATACTTTAAAATTGTTTACAGACTTTAATATTTAAGAAAACTAATACATTTGGGTCTCCTTAATACTCAACATCAGAATGATGATTATTAAACCCGTCAGGTCTTCCTTTAAGCAGTATTAAAATCTGTGATTAGTATATTATAGGCAATCTTTTACATAGAATAGACAAAGACATTTATTAAATTTTCTCTTCAGGCAGTCATTAGCGATGATTTTATACCAGTCATAAAGGTACTTTCGTCATTTTTAACACTAGAGATTATTTGAAACAAAACCCAATTTTATGTTCGATTAATTCGTTTTTGTAATATAATTCATAACTTAGTCAAAATTATTAGCTCTTTAGTAAGTTTTATAATCAACACAAGTGTGTTTCCATATTGCAGTAGAAACTAATGTTTATAATTATTACCAGATGTATTCTTCATCAAATAGATTTTATGCATCCAGGTCAACAAAATACCAAATATAAATTTCAAAAATCAGTTAAGTGGTATAAAAATATTAATTAATTCAAATTTCAAGTCATCTATTATAAAGTAATGTCATATCATAAAATTACTATCATTAGGTTTGTAGATAAGAAATAACAATTGAAGCATAAGAATCATGAATAAACATTCTTTTAAATTGAATTTACAGAAGACAATTTGAGAACTTGTGTTTCTTCCTTCATCATTTTATTAATAATTACATAAAATATGTAATAAGAACTAATTTTCTTCCTTTATCATTCCATTAATAATTATACATATAAATATAATAATTATAAATAAAAATATATAATTTTTTGAGGTATACCCTTATCCAGAGATAGGCAAAATCAGAATCAATGATTACACTGGAAAAAAAACTTAATGATCAAACCAGTTTTATACTTGGTACAATATAGCAGAAATGTGACACAATTAACGAATTACCTTATTAAAATTGTAATCGGAAACCTGAATAAGATTGTAATCATGTACTGACAAAATCAAATCACTGTAATCGTAATCGTTGATTATGATTATGCCCTCATCATTTCAATGTTATTAACCAAATTAAAATATTGGTTACAAACTGTATAAAACTCGACCATTTATTATCTTGTTAACATCACCAGTTAATAATATCATTAAATAGAAGATTCCTTATTATTCATTAAATTTATCTCAATTCATAGCTTCTTTTTCATCAAACATGAAATCGTTTAAAAATTAAAACTGTAAATTAACTATTTCAAGCATTTCTTCTTTCATTTAAATTCTAGTTATTCAGAACTGACAAAACAATAAACAATCTCTTAAGCATTGCTCTAATATATAGAATATGTGTAACATTAAGCCTAAAATGATAAGTTCATCATAACCACTTCTCTTCCACCACTGTAATGTGGGATATAAAAATATGTTAAATTCAAGAATATGATAACATTATCTGTTAAATTTTAAGGCCTCAATAAAAACTGAAATCATCAACTTGACATACCTGTAAACATTCTGCTGCTTTGAGAAAGCTTGACAGACTTTCATGTGATACATGTACTTCCCCTTTGTACATAAACTCAAGCAGAGCAGACATGTTACTTGATGAAGTGCCATCAAGAATTACAAGAACACTTGGGCAGTGCGGAGCGGCCTCAAATAAGTCTTGGAAGTGTTTACTGCAAGCCGCGAGGATCAACTTATGTGCTTTAAAGGTGACTCCTACAATGTTAAATATCCAAACTTAAACACTGTAGTAATGGAATTAAAGCACAAAAACTTAACCAAAATGAAATCTAACCTTCGCAGAAAAGCGTAACATCTGTCAAACTCTCAGATTTAAATAAACTGTCAAATGTTGTGACTAAATTACTCCCAAAACTATTCCACTTAAGACAAAACTGCTGCTGTGGGTCCATTCCAGGGTTTCTAAGGATGGTCTACCCTAATGAACAAATTAAAATTTTAGGGGTGCAGGACAAAAAATTAATTCTTATAACACTTCATGTATTACATATATTTTAAAAAATAACACAAAATCATTTCCTAACTTTTATGAAAAATTTCACCTTGAAGTTTACACCAGTGGATTTCAATATTAATTACAAAACAATATAATTTTAGCAATACATAGATCATAATGGGCATTATTAACAGCAAATACCAAAACTGAAAGTAAAAAAGAAATTTATTTAGTTAAATTAAGAAGATAAATGCCATGGCATAGGTTCACTGGATAATAACATTGGCCTTGCAATGCAATATCCTTAATTTTATTAAGGTTCGTAGTTTAATATATGTTAAGAAACAATTATGATTTTTAGTAGATAGATCATTTGGGAAATATGGTTTATATTTATCCTTTCTCCAAGGTTGGGTTTAGGCCTAGGCGAAAAATATTCGCATGCAACCATCTTGACACGATTCATGCACATCGATGTTATAGTCAGTTTTTGCATTTAACTGACCAAATCTCTTTATGAAGGATCTTCTTAACTTTCTAAATCACCAACACATAAAAACAACACTTAAACATAACATTCTGGCACAGAGCATTTACCTTACGGCCTTCCCTTCACTATATATAAATATCTTAATTTCTGTAACCCGTGCATAAAAAGTAATTTTGTTGTACTGTCGGAAACAGTGCTGATAACTCGCGAGTAAATGCAAAATTTAGCAGTTTTGTAACCAATTGCAATTTACCCTCATGATTTGGACCTATAAAATATTGCTTCTAAATTATTTTACGAAAATACTATTTTTAATGAGATTTTAAGCGTTCAAAAAGTAAATAAAAATTGTATACCAGCAGTCAAAAAGTTAACCAACGCCATTTTCAACCAGTGGCGAAAAGTGGAAACACGTTGAGCCTGTTAATTTTTCTTCATCAGCTGGTGGCGATATCCACTGAATCAGTTTTCAGATTTCACAAAAATGATAAATATCATATCCAGGTCAGGAAATTTAGCCCCACATCTACGTGGGGCTTCTCAAGCGGTTGCAACCCATTTGACAACTCTCACTCCACCAGTTGTAGAGAATTCATCAGTACTAGTTCCACCAAAACCACAAGTTCTTAGTTCTTATTCACTAAGCAAAGTACTTCCTAGCGGAAAATTGAGAATATCTTCAGGCCCAGCAGGTTTAATTATTACTTATTTTGATTCTATTCTTTTACAATATGTGGAATTTAAACTATAAAAGTATCTACACATACAATTCTGATTAGAATTAAATTGATATACTTAAATAAGTTCTGAATTTTCAATTGTGTATATTTCATTTCAGTTTCTACGCAAGTAAGATTTGCCCATACGGATTTAGAAGTTCCTGATTTCACACCCTATCGCAGATCTTCTGTTAGTGATCCCAAAACTCCTTCGAATGAAAGTGATGAATCTAGAAAAGCTTTTTCATATTTGGTTGTTGGAGGTGAGTGATTAATGTTTTATTATATTTTTAGTGATTTTATTGAGTACGTCATTGTTCGTTGGGACGCCCAACAGTTGAATTTATCTTTTCTCTCTTTGGAATTCAAAAAGTGTAATGAACAAAGTCAATTGGTTGTTCTTCCATTAAATTATTTCTCTGATAGTAGAACATAGTTCCAATAACAAAATTTTATAACCAACTGCCTTGTTAGTGAAATTAAGTTTAATTGGAACTTCCAGAACATCCTGGTGCTTAGGTTATCGTATATTTTGATAGTTCATTGTTATGATATCAGCTCTTGCCCCTACCATTGATTCCTTTATCATTAATTTTTGGAAAAACTTGTATGTCCTCTACATTGAACTTTCTGGAAATTGGAACCTTGAAAATTGTTCGCTCCCAAAATGTTCACAATATAAAAGTAAAAATCTTAAAAAAAAATTCACTTTATTATTTCCCTTTATTCAGGCTTGCTAAAAAGTGTTCTTACTTCAATTGATAGTTTTTTTTTGTTGGACAATTTTTTTTTTATTGTTCTATTTCACCACTCCAAGATAATGCATAGTTTTTTGATCACCCAAACATGCTATTATCACATTTCTAAGGACAGAGTTGCCTTGGCTTGTACTTGTGTAGGCTAGGTTGTATCCCACTTTTCAAAGGAATGAAAATATTCATCATCTGATTAATTCCCAAACCCACCAGAAAATTAATTAAATTAAGTCTATTGAATATAAATTGAAAAATTCTCCCCTCAGATAGAAATGAAGAATTGTGGAACGGACAAATTGTATATTGAAAAGTATATATTTAAAATAAATCTACTACATTTAATTTGAAATCCTCCCCTCCCACCACTTATAGATAAGGAGAAAATAAATATAACAATATGTACAGAAAAAATACTCATATTATGATACAGAGAAAATTTTATTTCTTGTAAAAATTCATAGCATCGTAATTAATGTTTATTCATAGGTAATAAATAATCCCATTATCAGGTCGTAATTCTACATACAAACTATATTTTTTCAATTTTTTAATTAGTGGCTATAATTATCATTATCAAACATTTTTAACAGTGTTAAATTTTAAATTTGTGAAATAATATTACTTAAATATATTTTAAATGTGAAAATTAAAAACAACACCCTTTTTTATAGTCTCATTTATTTACATTTGGTTCTCGGAGCTTTCAGTGCTCTGCACCATATTCATTTAAAAATTATTCACACATATACACAGAATATTTAATGGCCTGTCAGGATTAAAGTCCCTAAACATAGCAAATTAAAACATGTACATATTTTATTGGTTTATTAGCTTCTCTCTCGACAGGTACTTATTCCAAGATACACCATACACACTGCAGACCGTTAAGAGCTAGAAATCTAGTGTATTTTTAAAATAAAGGACATTTCAATAACATAAGTTTAGAATTATCAAATTAAAATGGAATTAGTAAATTAAAACGTGTGTATTTTATTTTTTTATTAATCTTTCTCTCCCTCGACAGATACTTATTCCAAGATGATTACTGTACAAATAGCCTTAAGTTTGGAATTATTAAATTAAAATGTGTGTATATTTTATTGATTTATTAGCGTCTCTCTCGACCGGGACTTATTCCAAGAGAATTACCGTACAAATGGGAGACTGTCAAGATCTAGAATTCTAGTATCTTTTTTAAATAAAGGACATTTCAATAACATAAGCTTGGAATTAGTAAATATAAACGTGTGTGTATTTTACTGGTTTATTAACCTCTATCTTGATAGGTACTTATTCCAAGAGGATTACCGTACAAATGGCTGACTGTTAAGATCTAGAAATCTAATATCTTTTTCAAATATAGGACATTTCAATAACATAAGTTTGGAAAAAAGTTGCGTTCCCCTCACTCGAACGATTACATTTCAAAAGTCATTAATTTATTGGTCTTATTGTTTATCATTATTGTCAGTTTTTGTTTTTAAATTTTTTTTTCATGATAATACAATTTAATTTAAAATTATAAAAGTGGAAATCTGTGAGTGGTTCCTCAAGAGTGGAAACCGTTCACATTTATAAAGAAAGGTAATGAAAATTTTAAATTTATTATTATTCGTTTTTCATCCAACTGTAGTTGTAAATAAACAACTAAATATTTATTCAGAATTTATTTCAGATAAAATTTCAGTCGTTTTATTGACATATATTTATTCGTAGTTAAAAATTTTGTCGTGTTTCTCCAAATAAATTTTCAATTGTGGTTTTTGATATGATTTGATAAAACCGTATTTGTTTTTTATTTGGCTTTAAAATTATTTTTGTGATTGTCCATACCTGTTTTTAGGTTGGTCAATGACATCTCCATATACAACTTTCCACAATTATTGCAAGGGATTTGATACACTAAATTTAGCTGATTTTAGTGTTATTTAAAATCTTATTTTTATTCTTTGTTTTCGACAATAATTTTCTAATTGAATATTGTGGCTTTTGACTGAAATTAAATTCATTTACATCCTTATCTATTAATATTCTTATACCTAGTTCTGCCATAAAATCTGTTACAAAAGTTTAACTTTGTTTACATCCTTGGGTATTATTTAGATAATCCTTATCTCTATCAGGTCATTTTTTTTACATGTTAGGATAATAATCCCAATTAGTTAGTATTTTTCTTTCGCTTAGTTAACATGGATTGGGATGATAAAGAAAACCGAATCGCCTTACACAAAGTTGGAAAATGAAGAGAAGAATAGTTAGGGTGGTCAGTCAAAAAGGAAGGCAAAAATAAATGATAATATTTATTTTTTACATACATTTATTTTTTGCATATGTAAAAAATAAATATTATCATTTATTTTTGCCTTCTTTTTTGACTGACCACCCTAACTATTCTTCTCTTCATTATCCACGACAGTCAACCAATTACCAATTATGAAAAAAGTTGGAAAATGTAGGTCAGAGAATTTCAACACTTTGAAACCTTTGAGTATCAGCCGTATGTTCGTGTATCGCACTATAAATAGATGTAATGAGACCCTATCTGTATGTGACAGTCATCGACCACACTGTGAGAATAGCAAAAGCAGTGAGAGCAATGGCTGCTCAAATCAGAAGAAATCCTACTCGAAAATAACAAATCAAGTCTCAGGAAATGGGAATCTCTGTCAGATCAATAAAAAGTGAGCTTAGGATGGGTGCATTTTGAAGAATGATAGGACAAAGGCTAACCGCTTCCCTAAAAAAAATTAGAGTGGATAGATTCAAAGTGCTCCTTGGCTGTTACACCAATGGTCTTCATCTAAAGATTTTGTTTAGCGATGAGAAAATGTTTAAAATTGAAGAAAAATTTAATCACCCTAATGATCGTGTATACGCACACAGCTCTAAGGAAGCCCAGGAAGTCATTGGAAAAATGTAAAAAGGTCATGGTTTGGTTGTTGAGTTTGCTTTGATGGCACCACAAAGCTTCTTTTTTGTGAAAAAGGAGTTATAACAGCCTCTTATAACTATCGGGACAATATTTTGGAATCTGTTGTCAAGCCTCTAAATGATACTCTGTTTGCTGGAACTCATTTGGTTTTCGAGCAGGATTCCATACCTGCTCACAAGGCCAGGTCAACTCAGCCGTGGCCGCAACAGAATATTCCTGAGTTCATCTCTACCTTGGATTGGCCCTTAAGAAGCCCTGATCTAGGAAGCTCTGAAAAAAATTATTTTTTTTGCTTACAGTACAACAACAACCTGCAATGATTGAAAATAAGACAAAGTTTTTAAAGAACGACATCCAAAGAGGATGGAATTAGTTTGACAAGGTATGTAGAAACATGTCGGAATCCTATGTGACAATTGGAAATTATAATGTATTTCATGATATATATGTATGCAATAAATTTTTTAGATGAATATGGTGCAGAGCATCGAAAGCTCCGAAAATGGAAATAAACGATACTGTTTAAAAAAGGGTGTTGTTTCTAATTTTCCCAATAAATTACACAGTCTACCTATTATACGTATATTTTAAATTTAAACTGAATAATTTTTCAAATTATATCCTTAGCACAGCTGATTTATTTTCTAACAAGCAGTCAAACTTTTAAGTTAAAATTAGATCTGACTTAGTCTAATGTGAACATTATAATTTCATATCATAACTTCATAAAAAAAAATAATTTTCTAAAATGGTGGGCTGTTTATAAACTACCAAAGGTTGAGAATCAGTTGGCTCCATCTACTTTCGGACACACTCAGGTATTTTCAAGAACCTAAGAATACTAGCTGTGAGTGTTCTTGAAACCAGCCACCATCTTGGAATAGTGAACCTCAAGTTGTCCCATTTTTTTAAACGTTAAAAGTTTTTCATTATTATACTTCCTAAATTTTCTTGTATTATTAACTGGGTCTGTATCATTAACACATAATTTATCTCCTCATTTAATCACTATTATTTTTATTTAATGTATTTGGCTTTGATTGATTGTTGTTATTATGATTATTATTATTGCTTGATTATTTGGGCTCAAGAGACCTCAAAACATGTATTTTCTTTGAAAACTCGGATTCAAAATTGTTCATGATTGCAATACTTTCCCATACTATATATTATATTTCACATATAGAAAGGTGAAAATAAAAAAAACATCATTTTCTGTGTGCCAACACTTTGGCATAATTTTCAGGGCTTCATCAAGGCTAAATAAAAACAAGATAACCAATTAGAAGGATAAATCTATTAACAAGAAAATAAGGAGATTAAATGGTATTTTATCTGCTAATAAATAAATTCTTAGATGTGGATCCAAATTACGTATTGTAAGGTATATTTTATTGTTAAAAATATATAAGTATTGGATATAATGATAAACCATGAAAGATTTCTAACTTATTTTTTTCAATTACCTACTACCTTTCTATTTCTGGCATGTGGGGAGGGCGAGAACAGCTACAATTAACCACCTATTCTGACTAAATTGGGAAGGTCAAGATTTATTCTGTGGGTCTGCAAAAAAATAAATTTTAACCAGCCCAAGTCAGATGTGAACTGTTGTCGCTAGACTCGAGAGTGTTATAGTGAACAATAACATGCTCGACCATCACAACCTCAAAGATAAACTAAATTTCTAACAATGGACAATAACTCGACTCTTTTTTTTTTTTTTTTTTTTTTTAACAATATAAAACCATTTCGATATTTAACTAGGTTCGTGACATCCTCCCACTTGAGAAACAATACTAAAAAATTGTTTCTCACAATTAAAAAAAAAATCATAGGAATATTCTTCTATCCTCATATCCGAAGCTTTTTTAAAATTCTAAACCACTCTACTTTTGACACCACAAATTTCATTCATTCCTGTACAATCATTATTAAAACAAAATTAGATGTTTTCTCTATCTTCATCCAGAACTAGTAGATTTCCGGTTCCAGTGGAAATAAAAACTGCACTGGTCTCTTTAGTTGACTTTTGGTTTCTATAAACTGACCAATCTTGTCTCTCTATCTTTTCTCCTAAAATCAACTTTCTTGCAATTTCATTAACAAATATGTAGTAAGTGACAGGTGGAAGTTATGTTGAATACCTCTGTTCTTAACTATAAATTTAATGTAGAAATAAATAATAAAATAAATATTTAGAGACAGTTACGTATATTTAATGGAGGAAATTTAGTTCAGTCATTTATTTATTCTTATTAGCTCTAAAATTGTTAAATATGTGATGTCTTGCAATGAAAAATCAAAATGTGCGATTTTGTGCAATATCATATTTTAATACATTATTTGACAGACCATACAACAGATAGATAATCAACTTTAAAGTTTTTACTCACAGGCTATTAAAATTTGCAATAACATAGAAATCTGGTCTCTAATCATAACCATGAAGTACTATGAATTACTGTTTATATTTTCCTGTCATTTAACAGGTGGAGCTGTTGCTAGTGCGTACGCAGCTAAAGTTCTTGTAACCCAGTATGTTACATCAATGTCAGCATCTGCGGATGTTCTTGCCTTGGCGAAAATTGAAGTAAAGCTTGGAGATATTCCTGAGGGTAAAAGCATGACGTTCAAATGGAGAGGAAAACCGCTGTTCATCCGTCACAGGTAAGCTTCTTGTAATTTACTGTTTTATATATATATTACATTCCAGCCTATTTCTTTTGAAAATGCTAAATAATGAATACCATAATTTAATCAAAACAATAACAATTGCTTGAATTATTGAATTATTTTTATGAAAACATAAAATGTTAGAACTAGGATTGCAAGATAAGAACATGTAGTTGGTCAACTAATACTAATTACTATCAAAAGCACATGTGATAATTTAAAATTTTTTTTTTGAAAATGCAATATTTAATTAATTATAAAATGTATTCCCAGTAATTAATTTTTTTTTATTTACTGAATTGGAGACAAATTTAATCTTATTTTGTACCAAACCTACTAAGTTTTGTAATTACTTAGTATGAACTTAAACAAAGAAGTTTATCCAGTAGTGGGGAATCTGTAGTCCAGTAGAAGGGCTGATAAAAAATTGGAAGTAATTCATGATTTTATAAAAATCGGAACTTACAAGGAGAGTTTACTTTGAGGGTTGTCTAAGTGTTGTACTTTGAAATAGACCATGTAAATTTTTTGTAAATGAAAAAGCAAGTTAGATTTATTTTTAGTCCCCTTTAAAACTCTTAAATATGAATTATTATGAAAATCGAAAATTGCAATTTTGAGTACCTGATTTTCTTAAAAGGATTTTTTTTTTTTTTTTTTTTGGCCGTTAATTTATGCATTCATAGCTTCTCAGGATTTTCTCCAAATTCGATATTAATATAACTGTTGGAAATCCCACATTATTACTCTTCTAACCCACATCAATGACTTTTAGATTGCAATCCTTTTTAAGCTAGAAACTCCAACATTTTTATTTTATATCTTCGGTTCTAATCTGTTTACAGTGATCAATTCCATACCATTTTGTGTAACATAATGATTCTTAGAAACTTGGTAATTTTGTAACTGGAAGCTACTTTACTTACTTTTTTTATTATTTTAAAAATTTATAACTAAAAAAACATAAGTCCAAATCAAAAATGTTGTATTATATAAACTCATCCCTGTAAGCTACTTTACTGCTTTTATTATTTTAAAAATTTATAACTCAAAAACTGTTAACTCCAAAAAATCAAAAATTTTGTATTATACAAAAATATTAATGCATTCAGCAAATAACCAAAACATAAAAATCCAATACCCCCTCGTTGATTTGATATGGAATGATCTATATTAATGTAAACGAGTAAAAACTCACCAAGAAACAGAAAATAAATGTTAGGTTATAATTGGAAAACTCCAACCATACAGCCTTGTGTCCTTAAAATGTAGTTGAAAAATAAATTAATGCATCAACTTTTCCCCAATTCAGGCATTATTAGGATAGAAAAGAAAAGAAAACCAAGATCCTATCACTCTATAACATCCAATTGTACACTGGAAGAAAGGTGAGGTAACATAGCTGAGAAAGAATATAGTCGAACAATTGATCAGTAAAAACAGATAACAACATGTAACTATGAACCAAAATACTTAAATATGCCATATATAGACAAAAAAAAAATACAAATAATAATAAGAAGAATTCCAAAAGGCAAAAAAAAATGAAATTGCACATCAGACAAAGATTAAAATCAAAACCAGCTGATCGCGTGATTTTTTTTGAAAACCAAAACAAATGTACCGGTAATTGACACTTAAAGAAAAATGTTCAACATTAATATGAACCTCAGCTTTAGTTCCGTTTGTGGATCTTTGTAAATGGGTTTAATTAGCCGCAAATTTAATCTTAAATCAAATTTATTTTTTCTATACAGTCAATGAGTTAATTATTCATGAAAAACTTAAGAAATTCTGACAGCGTATAATTGCATCAGTAATAGACATTCACGTTTCGGAATCAACAGGTTTTTTTTATATAATTAAAAAACCCACCTCTCCTTGCTGCTTTTATTCATTAAGTCATTTGGCAGTCTTATCAGTAAAAGTTGTAAGGTAATCAGTTATTTATATACGGCTTTACTAAAAATGTCTGAAAAAGTATTGGGTGCTGAATAAATTATTCAGACATTATTTGAGCCATCTGCTTAGAAGAGCTAAGATTTTACCTGGATGATTGAAGAAGACATTCTTAAAAAGACTAGGCTCACTCAGTAGGTTATTCCACCCCTGATGATGAAAAAGTACAAATGACTATTTAGAAGTAAGATGGGAGAGGGATATTAATTTAAATAGGAAGTTGGTCTAAAAATAATAGCTATATTCAAAAAGTATAAATCTCATATTTTCATTTAAACTGATAAAAAAAAAATATTCCAACCAGATTGAGAAGATCATTTTTCATTTTGGGATCATGATGGTATTGTACTGCTTCTGTTAGCATGTAGGTTTGCTACTCCAATATACTTCGACACCAAAGCATCATATTTGGTTTTTATCCAATTATTCCAGATAAACCATTGATTGTATCATATTATTCAAATTTTTTAGGAAATCCATGTGTTCTAATTATTTCTATATCAATTTTGTTTCAGAACTGGCGAAGAAATCAACAAAGAGCGTCAGACCCCATTATCAGAATTAAGAGATCCTGAAAAAGATGAAGATAGAGTCCAAAAACCAGAATGGCTGATTCTGATTGGAGTATGCACACATCTGGGTTGTGTACCCATTGCAAATGCTGGTAAAAATTCAAATTCTTTTTCACAAACATTTTGATGTAATAGCTAAATTGAATGTTAGTATTTAAGTATACATAATTTTTTTACAACCCTCCATCATTTATTTACAATTTTTAAGTGTACATAATTTTATCTAGACTTGCTATTTAAATAATGTTTATTTTACTTTATTTGTGAGAAAAGGGACCATTTGATACAGTCCAATCCTGATAATTTGGATTGTCAAGAGACCGAGAGTATAATATGAATTGTCAAGATTTCTATAAATAAGAAGTAAAAACAAGATAAAAAAAATTATTACTAAAACTCTTCAAAGAATATAAGTAGCTAATATCCCTTCTTCAGTCAAAATATCAATATTTCTGGTATTGCTTGACCATCATCAAAATGAAAAAATCTTTTATTGTTATAGAAATGTCTTAATTTTGAAATTCTTGATTCCGTACAATAGGGCACTCTAGATAATTTAAATTTATAAATTTAACTTATTTTATAACTAAGTATAATCCTTATAGCTTCTAATTAATTTCAAAATGTGTTAATTTAATATAAGAAAATTATATAAAATTAATTACATTCATTGCACTTCTTGTTTTCATCGTTTTTGCAGAAATATATTTCATTAGTTTTAGAAATAATAAAGATATTAATTACTAAACGTATATATATTTTTATTATTGATGCCATTTACATTTTATTTTTAAATATATAAACAATAACCTACCTGTAATTTACAATGAATAAAACATGGTGCCCACCACTGAAGACATTACCAATAAATGTGCCCTTTGCTGAAAAAAGGTTGGAAACCTCTGAACTAGATCAATGAGATAAATAACGATCTGATATTAAAAACTATTTAATTTTTACATTAATAAAATAAGTTTAATAAAAATCCTTAGAGCCTTTTTGAAAAAAAATGTACAAAATCAATCAAATAAAATTCCACATGTGGTTGAACTGTTATGATAATAAAAGTTTCTGTAACATTCCAGGCATATACCTATCTAAAAATAATTAATTTAAATTTTTGTATGACTTATCATTTTTCAGCTAAGTTGTACTCAAATACATAGACCCTTTTGCTTGACTTGGTTAGTTGGACTTTTATTATTTTGGTTATTTTTAGGAAGAAACCTAAAAACGTGTATTTAAATTCAAAACTCAGTTTCAAAATACTTTCTCTTACGATAAAATCAATTTCTTTATAAATTTTAGAAATTACATCTTGAATTTATGTAATAAGCCAATATTTTATCTTACAATTAATATTCACTAGTATAAATGTCACAACATGAGTTTTTTAAAGAATAATTAAATAATTAAAAATGCTGACACATTATTGTATGAGACATTTTTAATTATTAAACAATATGAATCTTTTTAACAAATCTGTCCATTAAAAGGCGTGTAACGATCTTTAGAGTGATGGTTTAATCTATTTTTAAATTTAATTGTTAAAAGTACGAAAGACCTCATGAATATTTGCAATTTGAGTTCAAATTACTGAGGAAAAAATGTCTTAAATATTCTTAATTTTTTTTTTTTTTACTATCCACCCTGAGATCATGTCCTTGTATATCTACCTTAAATACCTAGGTAGATTGCTAATGCAAAGGAAAATTGATACCTAGGAATATTTTAAATTGATATAATAGTCAGTTGCCTCCCGCTATGCATATCTTAAGGTTCTTAAAAAGTAAATTTCTTCTCTTGCATAAGCATCAATGCATATTAACATCTAAAAGAGCCTTAAGTTTCATTTAGGGCTAGAAGACACCCAACTACTACATCAAGTTGAAATATTTAAATAACCATTGGCAATTTTTTATTATATGTTAATGCAATAATGAAGAACTGTCTCACTCTTGTGTATTTGGCTATTAGTGGATAAAACAAAATCATGAGTTTTAAAAAATTTGTAATAAGTAATGTTAACAATTGATCCTGTTTTTTTTTTAATAGCATAATATTATCACTAATAAAAATAATAATAACTGAAATAAAAAACATATTCATCATTAAAGTTGCCAACTCGTGTTATGGGGCCCTTAAGAGATAGACTTTAATGATTTTAATTTAAATTAAACTATGAAATTAAATTTATTACTAAAATAAAAATAATTGAAATTCAAGTATCTGGTATCAGTCGGTATTTAAGAAAGTTTACATAGAAGCCAAAATCTCCTTGGGTCATAACTTCATGTCATGTCAATTGGTAAAATGATTTAACAATTGGGGAAGTTCATAATTTTTGGGTAGACATCCTGATTTATTTTGTTTTTAAATGTTTACTGTTACTCTACTATATAATTCACATGAAAATTGCTGTTTTTTTTTTTTCATGAAGTATTACATCAAATAAATAAAGAGGATAATAAAGAGTATGCTCTAAAAATTGGCTGAAAAATTGATGTGTTGATCTATAGGTGTAGTGAGTCATGGGACTTTGAAAATGGTTTGATGATTACATCACAGACACTCCATCCAGCCATCTTTACTCTAGGTCTTCCCACTCTTCTTTTTCTATGCAGTTCCTCCAACATTAGTAACTTGGGAATCCAGGAATCATCCATTCTAGAAACATGGCCAGCTCAGCACCTTCCAATCTTTATGCCAGATATTCCTCCTCCTTTACAGGTCCAAAGATTTTCTTATGGATCCTTCGTTCAAATGTAAGAAGTTTCTCCTCATCTGATTTGGTCATAGCCCAAGCTTCTGACCCATAGGTCAACATTGGGCATATCAGAGTCTTGTATAGATGTATTTTTGTTTTATTACCCAGAGACCTACTTTGTAGTTGTTTCGATAGGCTGAAGAGGCATCGGTTAGCAGTGGTAATTCTTCTACCTATTTTTAAGCTGAGGTCATTGTTTGAGCTAAGTTCTATGCCTAGATAGATGAACAATTCTACCTGCCAGAACTTATAGGAGAATCTTATTTCTATGAATGTTATTTGGATTCTCCCACCGCCAGCGCGCATATATTTTGTCTTTTGTTCATAAATTGGTAGTCCCAGCTCCTTTGCAGCCTTCTCTAACGCCAAAAATGCTTCCTTTAGGGCATGCACTGATCTGGCAATGAGGTCTAAGTCATCTGCATATTCTAGAAGCTGAACCAAACTGGACAATATTGTCCTGGGATACTGAATCCCTGAAGATCTTACATCTCTCTCAGTTGCCAAATTGAAAAGGAGGCAGGCAAGTGCATCGAGATGTCTGTTCCGACACGTACTTGGAATTCTCCATTGTCATCTTGATGAGTCGTACTAATTTCCTTGGAATCTTTAAATCTACCATGGCTTTATGCAATTCCCTCTTTCCATACTATCCATAGGCCGCCTTAAATTCAATAAAAGAGTGATGAGTTACCATCTTGTACTCAAGGCTTTTTTCAAGAATTAGCCTGGCAGAAACAATCTGGACCGTAGTTGATTTTTCTTTTTTTAAATCCAGCCTGATAATTACCTAGTACTTTTTCTGCAAATGGAGCTAGCTTTGCAAAAAGTACATTTGAGAGCACTTTGTAAGTGCAGGAAAGAAGGGCTTTACCTCTATAATTTTCACACTTTTTTGTTTTCCCTTTTTTATGTAGAGGGCATATTATTGATTGACTCAAATCCTTGTCAAACCTCTTGTCGAAGCCTTGTTCAGTGTTCCTCACAAATTGGTCAAGATTTTCGTCTATATTGTGCTTGTAAATTGCACAATTTTCTTCATTCTTAAGCTTTCCGGTATAATACTTTCTTTGTGTTCATTGGTGTCCTACTGATCTTCTGTAGGATATCCATGTTCACCTCTCTACTTGTTCCGATACATAAAGGTTTGATTTATAAAGTGTGCCAGTAGATGATCAATCTGGTTAGTTGTCCATCCATCAGGAGATCTTCAAGTTGCTTTATGAATATCCTTTCTGGGAGAAGCAAGTGCTTCCAATGATGAGACCACGTGAAGTAGCGATACTTATCAATCTTTGACTATTGTCATTGCTATGTTCGTGAAGACTAGGGACCAGTAGTGGGTTGGTAACACGCTTCTCTGTTAAAATCTCCAAGCAAACTTTTTGTTTCATGATTAGGACAGCTTGCAAGAGCTCCTTCAAGATCATCATAAAACTGTTTCTTTTCTTCATCTTTAGCAACTTCTGTCGGTGCGTAGCAATTTATAAAAGTGTAGTTTGATAATCTGCCTTTTATTATAATTTTACAAAGCCGAAATTAATCACTAGCTGGTGGGCTCTTCCTCCAACTATGAATGCCCATGATGTGCAACTTATCGTGACAAATATAGTAGAAGGTGTGTTATTCCTTCTTAATAGACCCAGTCCCAATCCATCAGACTTCCTGGACTGCTACTAAGTCAATTCTATATTGGTCCTGCTGTATAAGGAGTGTTCGAAGCACTCCAAGGAATAAAATATTCCACTATGCAATGCATAAATCATTATGGCGGTTCAAGGATCGTTCCGCCATTGTGACAATCCAACTGATATATATTTTTGAGGTTTCGTGATTTTAATCTTTAAGAGAAGTGGGTGATTAGCCCACATTCCCCGAGTCAGGTGGAGGAGCTGCGTCCTCAGAGCCTCCTAACATGCTCCTCCATCCGGAGCGGCTACTTATGGAAGGTGACCCTAGGAGGTGTACTGTTTCTATTCTTTGTCTGTATGTGTGGGGTGTATGGAGTGATCTATATGTAGTGTACTGTGTGTTTGAAAGTCAGTGTACTGTTCTCCCAACCTGGAGGACCAGTGGCTGTTTGCAGTCTGACAACTGGGCTATGGGGTCACCTATTCTCTATACACGACCTATACCCGATACACGCCAACAATTTGACGCTTACAGTTATCCGAATTCCTCCTGAGCCCACTCCACCTTTATAATAATCTGAATACATATCCTCTCTACCAAGGTTGAAAAACTATAACAGGCAAACACCATCAAATGGTTAATTATGAGGTGGTAATAAGGTTCTGTTGTTTTGCCCAATCATTGTACAATATAATAACAATTATGATTAGTTAAATTTCATTTGGATATTTAATGTTTTTAAATTTGGTTTGAATAACCAAAATATGCAATTATTTTTCATTTTATATAAACTTAGAATTCTTAATACTTAATATTTATTTCATTTGAACGTGTAAAACATTTTTATATATTGCACATCAAACTTTGTTTTAGGTGACTTTGGTGGCTATTATTGTCCTTGCCACGGATCTCATTATGACAACTCTGGGCGTATTAGAAAAGGTCCAGCTCCCCTTAATCTTGAAATTCCTCCTTATGAATTCATGGATGAGTCAACATTGGTTGTTGGCTAGTTCTTTAAGTGGTGTAAATTACTAGATTGAAATAAAAATGAAATTGTAAATTATTTGAAATGTACATTATTTATTTAATTTACCTCATTGTATATTTGTTACATATTTTAAATAAATTGTTTTAAATTCCTTTTATATTGTATAATCTCTTCCTCGAGAAATCGTTTAGTCTGTTACTATTTTTGTTGTACATTAAATAAATGTATTTGAAGAAATTGGAAAAAAATTGCTAGTAAAATTTCATTTGATGACCAAATAAAGCTAATTCATTACAGTTCTTATTTGTATTGACCTAAAAGTATAAGGCATGTTAAAGATATTGGTTGTAATATATCAGTTCTTAGTGTCCGAGGCACTTTGACTTTAACTTAACAATATTATTTTCGTTAAAAATATCATCTGTTGTTCTCAATTCTCAACATTTTTTTGTTTAATTAATAAACTAAATAAATACATATTTTACCTTGTTTTCCTTCTGAAATATTTCATCTTATTAATTATGTGCTCTGAAAAAATATTGTAGTTAGTTGAAGACAGATCACGTAAATATGGTTGATAATTCGATTTTCAGAGTTTTTAATGTAGCAAGTTTGTCAGTTAACTCTAATAAAATAATGTGAAGTGAAAAGTGAATGATCTACCACATTCACCTAAATTGTCTCCAACTAACAACAATTTCTTTAAAGTGCTTGACACATTTAAGAAAATAAAATATTTTAGATTGGAAACATGGTAAAATTTCCATTTCTCAGGTTTCTTGATTTAAAGCTGAATAATTTCTTTAAAGGAGTGATAAAAAATCTCGTTGAGTGTTGGGAGAAATTTATTGAATTTAATGGATATTATTTTGAGTAAAAATAATTTCGTTTAAGTTTCTTTTTCTTTTATTTGCTCTTATTCATCTCATCTCAATAAAATTAAAAAATCTATCTATCTCCGATGGCCCTGTAGAACATGAAGAACCCTGTCCTCCTCCACCGTCTTCTTTCCTCAGCCACTCTCCTCCAACTTTCAGTTCTAAATTATACATTCACATCTTCCTGCCAGCACAATCTTGGCCTTCCTATCTTTCTATTTCCTCCTGAATATATCTCACCATAATCATATAGGGGATTCTATTACCTTCATTCTATGCACATGACCCAACAATCTTTACCTTGGACCCAGAGATTTGGAAATATTACAAAATACCAAATCAATGGCTCAAGACACAAGAATCTCTCGTGCTGAAAGCCAAGTCTTTACTTGAAGAAAGAGGGCTTGGCTGCGAAGAGGAGAAACCATTTATATAGGCACAGTTCCCAATCCACCATCACTTAATCAAGGCAAAGTTGCAACTGCTGCATAAAGTGGATAAGAAAGTAACATCAGACTATGAGCTAAAAGAAATAGCACTGGAAATTGTAATTCAAAAGTACCATCCTAAGGATTAGCTTCACATTTATACCTATGAACCAGCCAATAAAAGTGCTGAAGCTGGACTGTAACTTTTCTCTGCAAAGTTCCACTTTTCCCAGCACCTGGAAAACTACCCTTGTTCGTCCACTGAATAAAACCTCTAATCCTGCAACCCCTAATGATTTCCGTCCAATTTCTCTGTTATTTAACCTTTCCAAACCTTTAGAACGAATATTACAACCCCCACTATCTCGAACAAAATAGCCTTTTGATCTGCTTCCAGGCCGGTTTTAGACCTGACTACTCTACTCATACCGCTCTCATTAAAATCTTCCAAGGTTTCCACACAGTCATAAACCAACAGAAACTTACCATCTTTATCCTTCTTGATTTTTGTAAAGCATTTGACAATAATACCCTCCTAACCAAACTTAAAAATTTTTCCTTGTCATCTAGTTTCCTTTTGTGGTTCCAATCCTTTCTCACCGGTCTCTCCCAGTATGTTGTAGTCCCTAATAACCCTCGATCAGTGTCTCTACCCTTGTTCAGAGACTTCCTCAAGGTTCCTCTTTATCTCCCACCCTCTTTTCCATCTATATCATTGACCTCCCTTCCTCTATCATGCACTATCAATATCACCTATATACCGACGACGTACAAATTTACCTTTCTTTCAACACAGCGGATTTCTCTAATGCTATCCTGAAACTGCAGCAAGACATCAATAGAATATGCGCATGGGCAAATCTTAATAAATTCACAATAAATACGAAGAATATAACAGCCATCCTGATCGGAATCCCCTCACTCCTCAAATCCATTTCAGTACCTCCCAACCTTCTCCTGAACAACTCACTTATCTTCTTCTGCTTAAGCAACTTTCCAATTTTAATTAAGACAAGGCAAATAACTCTCGTGAGTTCAAAATAAGCGACATTCGACTTATTTATGCAGTGGACCGTATTTTAATGAATTGGTAGGTTATACGAATTGTGCAAAAATTCACCCATTTATGCTGGCTTAGACATCTTATTGTTACCTGAGGGCGCCCTCGGAGCAGATGTTGTTTCTGACTTATTCTGAGATGGAATGGGAAGTCGTACCGCGAGCTGGTACGAAATAAATTTTATCGTTCAGATCTTATCTGACCAGCCCCCACCACTCGCCGCAACGAAACAATTGGGCACTATCTTTGCACAAACACCTTCCATACTACCGTTAAAAACCTTGGCGTTACCTTCGATCAAACCCTCTCTTGGAAACCAAACAACTCCCAAATTTCCCGCCGGACTATTTTCACCCTGAAACAGTTTAACCATCTACGTTATCTTCTTCCATTCAACACCCATCAACTCCTGGTTTCATCTCTTGTTTTCCTCGACTTCAATTCTGATGAGGTGTATGGTGGACTCTCGAGAGAACTCGAAGCTAAACTTAAACGTCTAATGAATTGCTCAATACGCTTTATCTTCGAGATCTCAAGGGATACTCATATTACCCAGTTTTATACCGAGTTGAATTGGCTTTATCCGTCCTACCGCCGTCAGTATTTCCTTGCTACCTTCCTATACCAGGCAATTAGAACGCGGCGACCCTCCTGTTTTCTACAGATCCTACAATTCAAATGCTCCTTTTAATTCCTTACGTCCGACCTTTATCCTCCTCCTCCTCACCGAACTATTGTGTTTGACAAATTTAATTTAATTTAATGTCTCCCTCTGGAATTCTATCCCCTCTGATATTCGACACACAAAGTCAGTTTCCTCTTTCAAATCTCTCCTCTTCAAATACCTACTGCATCCCCAATCCAGTGATCATGAAATACACTTAAAAATCTATGCCGTAAGAATCTCAAAGTACCCCCAGATACTTTGATTATTTTTTATTTATTGATATTTTGTTTATTTATTTTACTTTCTCTGTTTATTTTATATTTATATTTATATTTGATTTTATATATTTTCATTATCTGTACTTTTATTTTCATAGTTTAAATCAGATTAAATCCTGAATAAGTTAGTGGTCTAATGTAAAGCGCGGTAAAATATAAATGGCAAAATGGTAAAATATAACCATGTTTTATGAGAAAAAATATAAAAAAAATATCTCTTAAAGTATTATTGTTCGTGTAATTACATTTGAAAGTATTTTAGAAATTACTTAAACATCATTTCATATAAGTAGTTAGTCTCTTTCTTTTCTTCCAAAGTAATTATCGATATTTTTATGAAAAAAAAGCTTTCGGGGTGAAATTAAATTGGCCCCCAAATTAAATCCTGGATCCGCTAGTGATGTAAAGTACTAACGCATCCAGGATTTAATTTTGGACTTCAGCCCGACAGTTTTTTTTCATAATATAACGATAATTAATTTGAAAAAAAGAAAGATACTAACTACCTATATGAAATGGTGTTTAAGTGATGCTTTAAGTCCTATTAAATATAATTAAACCAGCAGTAATACTGTAAGAGATATTTTTTTTATATTTTTTTCCATAAAACATGGTTACATTTTACCATTTTGGATGGAGGGACTTCAGTCCGAAAGTTGCTGAGATAATTAAGAGATAATTTCTTAGAGATAATTTTTTTATATTTTTTTCCATAAAACATGGTTACATTTTACCATTTTGGATGGAGGGACTTCAGTCCGTCAAGTTCCCTGTTCCCCATAATGCCTGTGATATAAAGGACCTTTGAGGATATAAAGGAGCATGAGTTAAAAGCAGGGATACAAATGGTGAAGTAGTGAAATAGCAAAGGTGTCTTTCATGTCCTCCAAATTAGAAATTTATTTTGATCGATAAAATGGATTGAAATAAAATTTGAAACTTTTATATTGCGTAGTGATCATCAAATGTTTTCAATAATTACAAATTGCACATAAAGTTAAATATAATGTGTTCAGATAGAAACAATTCATTCTAGTAAGATTTTTCTGGAATCATTCTTTAGATAATATCCATTTTTCATCATTTGTGGTCTGCAAATGACAACAGCATTGTGAGATATGAGTAGGTGGTATGAATCGACTGCAAAATAACAAGCAACATTTAGATATGATCATTTGATTAATGTATTTATAACTAAAATCATCTTATTATACCTTAAGAAATAATGCCATATCCACAGTCAAAATTCTGCGATAATTGTACTTGAACGGTTGAACCATGGTAAGTGCCAACATTAATTGAACAGATTTTTGTTCTGGGAGACGTTTTCTATACCATTCACCAAAATATACTGAAGAGTGCAGCTTTTCTCCCTATGCATTGTCCAAATAAATTTCAAAAATATTATAGCAAAGAATTTGCTGCAAGTGTAAATAAAATTTTACATATACCAAATACATGCAACCCTTTACCCTAGCCGACCCTTTATCTCTTCATTCTATAAAAAAAAGTCGCGGGGAGGAAAGTTGAGTTTTTTCTTCTATAACATGTGCTGCTCAAAAATGAATGGGAATGTTCTTAGTTATGTATGTTTTATTTCCCTAGAATTTTTATTTTATTTTGGTCATAAAATACATTGAACATTAATATAAATAAGATTGAATTTGACCTCCAAAAATTTTATAAAAGGTGTTTAAAAAAAATAATAAAATTCATGGTTCATGTGATCTTGTTTTTCTTGCGAATTGTAAAATTTAATAATTTGTGCAATATCATCTGTTTCACACTACCTATCTGTATTATCTACTGCCTATTGAAACTACTGTTTATGATTTCTCTGATTTCACAAGGAATTTCATACCATAAACATGGTTATACTTCTTTCAGTTGCTGAAGGTTAATAAGTTACAAATGGAGATCAAAAAGCTTTCTCTGCCGTGCATCCCACAGGAGATTTTCAAGACTTTGATGAACAACTTTTTCCCTATGAGGTCGCGCATTGTCGTAAAGAAAATAAATAAATTTTTATTTATTTGAGGTATTTGAGGAAAATTGAAAGTTTGAGGAACACCTATAATTCTTTCTACCATCCCTTGGTGCCGTAATATGCTGAGATCCACTAATAAGTCTCCTATTGAATATTACTTTATTAAAATTGAGAAAAATCGAAAATTTTAATCAAATTCAAAAATAACTATTGGTTCCAAAATGATTATTCTTCATGTTGACCATCTTTTAGTTATTAATTTATTAAGAACATGGAATACTTCTTGTTTATTTTTTATGTTTACCAACATATAAGAGTATCCTTTATGAACTGATAAAACAAGCATCAAATAGAAATATCTCTATTTATTTTTGATCAGTATATATTATTATACTATGTTATCTTCAACTGTTCAAATGATAGAACAATTATAATTGTAGTTGTTAATTCCCAGGTTTTGCAGAAAAAATTAATTTCATATTTAAAGTTAATAGCCCTAAATGTTTACAGTGGTTATGTTAAATAATAACAATATGTCTGAGTAAAGTTTGCTTGCTACAATTATAACTATTAAATCCTTGGTCCGCTTCTGATATAAAAAGCATGCAATACAAATGTAGGCATAAATTCGCTCTCTCTGTAGGCATAAAGTCGCAGAGTAATTCCAGAGTGAACAACGATTTTTACGCTTTTTTAATAAACGCCTCGTCAATTTTTTTATAAAATATTTCAAATTTAATTTAATACTGTTTTTACTGTATACCTGTATTATTAGATATAAAAATGTTATTAAATTAAATTTAAAATATTTTAACAAATAAAGAATAATAATATGTGTAATAAGTTCTCTACTTCAAATGGTGCAAAAAACGTATGTTTGATCCGCGACCTTTAAACATATTCTTGGAGAAGTATCTCCTTAATCAAATTAGTCTCTAACTATTAAATTCTAAGAATAAACCGTGGTTTGATGAAGATTGTTTAAACATGAGTCATAAAAGAAAAGCTGCGAAATTTAAAGTTCTAAATAATACTAGCTTTATTAAGACAATCTCGAATACTTCCGAGCGTTAAAGAATGAAACGACTAAATTGCTTAAAAAAAAAAAAAAAAAAAAGATAGTATCTTAAAAATAAAATAATTAAAATAGAAACTAATAGAGCCGAAAATAATGTAAGAGACATGTACAAAGGTATAAACAGATCACGTAAATGTTTAAGGCCCTTCACGTCTGAAATTAGGGATGAAAGTAACAATATTCTGACCGATCCGGTAGACATATTAAATAAGTTTAAGAAATACTTTGACAATATTTTAAATACGGAAAATAATGATCTGTGTCCTTCTGAGTACCAGACTGCTGAACCGTTAATAGAAGAACCAAGTAAAGAGGAAGTTGAAGTAGCTATTGGAAAAATAAAATGTTATAAAGCAGTGGGGACCGATGATATTCCTAGTGAACTAATTAAGGCATGCGGGGAAGGTGGAGTTTCTTCGGTCCGAATATTCTACGCAATACTTTATTTTCAAAAACCTTAAGACGCTGCTCATCCCTCAATGTATGCGGATAAGTTTTGCATCCATAAAGAACAGTAGGTAGGATAATGGTTTTATAAATCATAATTTTAAAGTTCCGGGACAGGAGGCGCGAGCTAAGTAATTTGATCACAGAGAAATAACGAGCATTTCCCGTTTTCGGACTAACCTTAATTTCCTCTTAAATTCTTTTACTTTCACTTACTTATATATGTAATATATAGTAAGGGTAAGTATTGCTGTCGTGAAAATTTTTGAATCTGAGGTAATTCACGTTTTGAGGTCTCCTGATTCCAAATAATAGTCCCGCAAAATGGTCTCGGTGTGTGTGTGTGTGTCTAGCTCAAAAATGAAAACTCGTACGGAAGGGAAATTGCATATTTAAGGTTTTTATATGCTAGGGATGTTACAGAAAATTTTTCGTCAAAATCGGCGAACCGGAAGTGGCACTTTATATAATGGACTAAACACATTTTTACGATCATCTCGAAAACCGCTCTAACGATTATGATTAAGTTCATCATATCAGTGTAAAATTAAGCAGTTTTAAATTAAATTTGGTTATTATTCTGATTGATGTTCTCTAACAGGGCTTAAATGGCTAATTTTCAATATTAGCTTCCTATAACACGAAAAATGGTAAAATATAAAATATGAAAGAATTTGATAAATAACTAAAGGAGAAATAAGAGATTGTAACAGAGAATAGTTGTTGAGAAACCAAAGGAATATGAGCGCACCCAAGCTCACCCGAAAGATTAGAACAAGCTCCCATACGTATCATGAGATTACTTTAAACTCGAACGAACCTCAAACTTTTCGCATAAATAATCACCAATTCTAACTTTATTGAGCGTTGCCGTCAAGCGCATACTAACTTTATCCTCGCCCACATCCTCAGATCCGGGAAAACCCCATATAGCCTTAAAGGCGAAGAACAAAAAAAATGTACATAATAACTAGATTTACTATTTTTTCAAATCCTCTGCTCGATTAAAATATTATACAGCTCCTGGCGGTCAATTGATTCTTTATTTGTTAAAATATTTTAAATATAATTTAATAACATTTTTATATCTATTAATACAGGTAAACAGTAAAAACAGTATTAAATTAAATCTGAAATAATTTATAAAAAAAATTATGAGGTGTTTATTAAAAAAGTGTACATATCGTTGTTCACTTTGGAATCACTCTGTAACTATTGCTTCGCAGAGCGAATTTGTGTTTACATTTGTATTGAATGCTTTTTATATCAGAAGCGGACCAAGGGTTTAATAGTTATTGTAGTTAGCGAACTTTACTAAGATATATTGTTATTATTTTTGTTTAGTTCTTATTTATTCAGAAAAATTACAATTTGTCACAATAAAGGACATTTATAATAGTGTTCAGAGAGCAAATTAACACTCTATTTACAATAAATAAAAATAAATATATAAATAAAAATATAGAAAAATAATAATACTAAAAGTAAATCTATATAAACAAAAGAACTAAACTAATCAAAATAACAACTAAAACACGAGCATACTTTTATACAATATTACAGAATCCATTCGCCCAGGAGAACCCCGAACCAAGCCTTTTTCCTCATTCGTAGAAAGAAAGGCAGGACTCTAGGAGATCCCAGCGACTCTTACTCATTCGCATAACTTGTATCAAAGACCAGTAGAGGCACAATAATCACACATGCGTACATGGCTTGAGTGGAAAATCTGGCCATTGCCACAATCCAGTATATGATTATTCACAAAAGATCTCTCTATGTCACTGTTGCCTAAATCTTCAAGGAGGATTATAGGAAAGGTAGAACTTGATAAGGATTATGAAAGGGGGTTTGGATGATATGTAAGGTTCTGATGAAAATTTTGAGACTTTTTCTGAGATAAGGTCTAGGACAAATGGGATATTAAGGTCATGGTGCAGGATTTTGTTGGTTACATAGAATGGAGCATCAACTATTGTTCGAAGGAGTTTAGATTAGATTAGTTTGAAAGGATTCGCTGCGTTTGATGCTAGAAAATTTTACTGTCTCCCATGGTTCAAGTACATATGTCCATATAGGTTTCACAATTGTCTTGTAGATAAGTAACTTGTTTTCAATAGAAAGTTTAGATTTTCTGTTCAATAGTCTGTATATTTAGCCGTATCGTCGGTTGAGTTCTTGTCTTTTGAATCTAGTATGTGGGTTCCACGTTAGTCTTCGATCTAAAAGAAAGCCAAGATACCGGACTATGTCTGAGTAAGGAAGCTGGATGGAATTAAATTGTACTGGTGAACAGAAATTACGTCGGAGTGTAAAGGTTAGCATTTGGATCCACTTACTTTGATGCGCCGTTTATTACACCAGTGCCCAATCAAGGAGAGGTGGCTATGCAGATTTAAGGATGCTATTTCAGGATCAGAGTTGGACGATAAGATTGCGGTGTCGTCAGCGAATGTTGTAAGGAAGGAATTATAATTCATATTATTTATTTAACCATTATTTAGTAGATACTATTTATGTATACCTATAGGTTCGCAAATACTGAAAAAAAAAAATAGAGAAGTAAAATAACAATAAATACGAAAGTTAATATTTTCTGCAGAATCTCGTAATATTATATTTTTTCTAACTTTTCAAAAGTAGAAGATAAGATACTATAATAATATATATTTTTGAAGAACATTTAATGTTTAACACTTGACTTTTTCGTAGAATGAAGAGATAAAGAGTTGGTTAGGTAAATAAATATAAAAACGTTCAGCAATAGTTTCTGAATCAACAATTATTGAGCACGAATATTTCGGAAATTGTATGAGATAGCCAAAGAATGAATATCATTAATCTTCTAGTAATTGTTAACTGTTTTAATTTTGTATAGAGTACCTTTATCGCTAAATCCATAGTTTCCCTGATAATAAGCGCCGATCCGAAAAAAAACATGAATTTCTAGGTGGCACCTCACCTACGAATCACCACCTAGAAGGAGGGATTTAGTATTTTTACATCCTTACTAGACCAAACAATGCCTCAAAGTAAAAACTTTAGTTCCTTCCATTTTCCTCCATCATTGAATCATTCAAAAATCATTCATTGACTTGACTATTACGGCCGACGTCAACCATGGGACTGGTGCTGGAGAGATTTCTCAGTAACATCACAAATATTAATGATCCTGGACACGCTTTGATCCCGGTCATCAATATGTTCTTTTTCCGCATCATCCCGTTGTTGAGGTACTGTGCAAAGTATGAAGGTAGTAGAAGGGCGCGACAGAGCGTGTTCTTTAGAGGTGTAAGTAAGATAACTGAGTGGATGAAGGAAGGTGAGTAGATATATGACCTTAAGTGTCAGGCGGATCAGCACCCGAATTGCTGGTCTGCGTTGCAAGAGATCAACCTTAACAATCCGCAAGTATGGAAACCGCAAAAGGACAGATCAATCTCCAGACTTTGTGAAAGGATGAAATACTAACAAAGGGATTAATCTCCTGCTTAGTATGTAGGAATACAATCGGACGGATCACCATCCAGACTTGAATGGAGAGAGAATATGATAAAAGGTTTTTGGACATATTGAATTATAAGAAAGATTATAGTGAACAAAAAACGTTTATGAGACATGTACTTATCATCTGCGTATAAGTTTATACCCCCGAAGGAGGGAGATTCGAGAACTTATGGCAACTTTTTGAAAGGACTGCGGTAATCATTCCGCCATCACTAAATTGGCTATCAAGTGCCATTAGAATTACAGTTATTTTTAAGCTTTGATCAGTATATGTTATCGCCATTAAACTTTTTTAATAAAAAATATTTACAATGTATATACATATTTCAATTTACAAGTTGAGTATTTTATCTTATAACAATAAGAAATAAAAATACAATTTTTTGATACATTGCACAAGTGAGCTTGTGTGGCGCTGCCAGATAGCGGGCAGATGAACTAGTCCCTTGTAGCAAGTGATGGTAATCTGTTGCCGCCACACCATTTATGGTCGACCATTTTGTCCCCCAGCGTTGACTGGAAAGCAGTGCAATCTGCTCTGATAACTCGCCAATCCTGTGGGAACTTCTTGGGTTTTCCATTTGGATTTCTATCAGGTAGAACAACATTACCCCACTTGAAATAACTATATCTTCGGTAAAAAAAGTTTCTCTGAAAATATTTCGGGAGGTGGATTGGGCCAAAGCTCCCAAAAAATCCAAAATTTGCTATGAATTCTTCGCGAATATACACAAATTTTTACTGAGTACGGCTTATATGCATTACACTGCATGTAGTATTGAAGAATAAGAGCTTAACAAATCGACATCAATTATAGGCAATTGTCCCAATTCTTCTGTCTTCGGTGGTTAAGGAAATAAAAAATTGTTCAATAAGTATTGCATTTTGTTCATTTTTTTATACTCTCTATGTTGGCTAGAGAAAAAAAAACTTATATTTACGTTTGTACATGTAAGAGTGTATGTACAGCATAAACAGTTAAATCATTAAATACTGAACTTAAATACCTGTGTCTGAATAATATTACCACAGTAGCATATAAGAAAAACCCGCAAAAGGACGAGTACTAGTACATAAGCATTATTCGCTACACCTTTCCCTCCGCTTGAAAGGCTCTTAAACAAAGGCACATAATTAGACAGTTTTATAAAAGAAACTTATAAAGACATCATCATAAAATATAATCATAAATAACAAACCTTCAATATGAGAAATGTACTTATACAGCTGTAAAGTGAAGATAATATGTATTCCGCCAGCATTAGAGCATTTAGTAAACGATTAATGCGGAAGAAAAGCCTGCAATTTAAAACCAGAAAATTACACAATATATTCGCAGTGATTTCCTAAATGTATGCCTATTAAATTTTATAAACTGAACTAAAGGAAGAAAATAAAAACATAGTCCTTATCTGGGCACCATCACATTGTGGTATCCTGGGTAATGAGAGAGCCGATGCTGCAGCCAACTCTGCTCGGCATCAAGAAACAGCACAAACCACAATAATTGATGCTATTCCTCGAGAAGATTGGTCACACCAACTTGCCTTCTCCTTTCAAAATATTGAATGGGAAATGAGTTCGGCAAAACTTCAGGAAATAAAAACAAAATGTATCAAATGGAAGACATCAAACAGAAAGTCTAGACGAGAAGAAGTAATACTATGTCGCCTAAGAATTGGGCACTATGAGTTTTCCCATGGATACCTCCTGCGAGGATTAGAAGCTCCAACTTGCACACATTGCCTAGTACCCAGAACAGTAAAATATATATTAGTAGAATATAGAAGGTACACCAATATAAGGAAAAAAATTCAAATGGGAACGGAAATGAAAGAAATTCTGCAAGAATGGGAGAATGAAATAGAAAAACTGTTCAAATATTCTTCATTTTTATCAACGAATATAAAATGGAAATATTAAGCCAATGACCCTTAGGGGTAGAGGCTAAATAAAAAAATAAAAAAAAATTTATAATACAACATTCTGGTCAATAGAAGAAAAAAAAAATGGTAAAGTAATTCCAACTCAAGAATGGGAGAGCTCCTGAACTCACTTCAGAAACAGACCTCGGTGGTTCCTGGTTTCAATGTCTACATCTGGTTTGCATTTTTAACAATGGTCGAACATCGTTGTGTCGTGAAAAATACGGATCCAAAGTAAGTGCAGCCTTGATTATCGCACTACCACGACCATTTAGCGATATACCTGTATTCAGTTTTGAGTTAGCCTGAGTGAAATAGCAGTACCAATCATCCTTGGGGTCGGGGTGGCCGAATGGGCTAAAGCGTGTGCACAGCACCGCGAGTTGCCCGGCAACCAGATATATGAAGATTTGAGAGACAAGAAAAGTACGAGTTCGCGTCCCGGTGCCGGAGGGGATTTTAAATTCCCCGCCCTCACCCTCCGGCCCGGGAAAATCACGTATAGCCTAAACGGCGAGGTAGGGAAGAACAAAAAAAAAAAAAAAAAAAAAAACAATCATCCTTTTTATTCTACAAACAATGAAAATATTCACAATTAAAAGTGTAGTTCAATGACATAACCGGCTAGAAATATTCATAAATGGATTACTCATTCAGGATTATTCACATTGAACGTATAACCCACGTTAAACAACTTTTAAACCATTTCATTATTGATCACCAAGTTATATCTAGTAGAGCATCTAATAAAAGAACTCGGTCGTTAGGCTCGATACCTCATTCTTCGTCCGCCAAATAAATGCCTCGTTCAACACCTTCAATGAACTCGGTTTGCTCCGGAGAACATGAAACCCAGTCAGGTACATCGTCACAAAAGATAAATGAAAAATCTCTCATTTTTACACCCAATAAGGTGCTTCAGAATGACAGAAAGGTGATGGAGTCCAAACCGATAACCAGAAACCCCCCCGGTCTCTTTTGGCATTCGTTAAAAAACATAAAAATTATTCAATTATTATGTTCTCAAACAGGCAAAATAACAGGCTCTGGAAGCTACTCTTGTATAAGAAGAACAAAATACTCTAAAATATCACCAAGTACAGCTGAAACCTATTGAAAAATTCTATCTAAATAAAGTTATATTCATGAAAAACCATAGCGTATAATATGAGGCTGTAACCTCTTTGTATATTCAATTATAATATAATCGATTATCTATGTTAATTGGTTTAAGATAAGCCAGATGGTGTATTTGTAATGAATGATAAAGCACACCTAAATTTGTTCTAAAAGTATTTTTATTTAATTAATTATACATAGTACAAGCCGATTTTCATAGATATCAATTACTACAAAAGCGAGCATACGGTTGTTATAAGAAAGCTACACCCCTTAACACCAACTGAAGCATTAGAAGAAGGACCGAAAACTTTAGGTTTCAAAGCGGGCCAGGTAACAAATGTTCTGAAACAAAGTAAAGAACAGCTAGGAGTAAAAATTATTTTTCATAGAAATGGAACCAACACGAGCAATTGAACATTTATTAAGAATTTGTGTGTGGAGAAATGAATATGAAATGTAGTTTTTGTTAACTACAAGTACTTACCTCAATAGCTTTTGGTGAAGAATTACACACTGTTTGATAGGGTGTCCATCTTCCATTGCTCTTCTTAAAACTTGAATCTGACCTGATAACTAACAATTTCCTAATATAATCACAACCAAAATTATACATAAACTAATAATTATTTTTATTGACTAATAAGTATAATTTTCGCATATCTAGCTAGAATTATTACTACTTATTAGAGGAGTTTACACTCAGTGGGTCACTGATTTCAAACAATTTTTTTCGGTAATACTAAATCGAAAAATATTAGATGCATAGTGGTCGTGGACAATGGACTCACGAACCCAAGAAAAAAAATCTGGTGCGTGCAACACACAACTTTCACTTACCGATCTACTATGAATAGAAATTATTTTCTGGCAATGCTGGGCTATAATAAATTTTTTTGAAGTGCATTTTAAACGGAGCTAAAGCTTAAAGCTTACAGATAACAATTCATTAAGGCCATTATAATTACAAAATGTCTATTTAATATATCGACAACAGGCAATAAAAATCTAGTCACTCCATCTGCTTTTATAAACCACACAACTTTCTTTGCTTTTATAAACTTCAGAATGACTAACTCCAATTTCAATATTTTTAAGTGTTGTCATTTTAGTGATATTTTTAGTTGAAACAGTTATCTATGCAGAATATGAGTAAGTTGATTCCGGAGGAGATGATTGCAATGTTGAGATATAGAACTGAAAATAAAGGTATAAATTTAGGTACTTATTTCTTATGAAAAATGTTCTTAGGAAAGATACTTTATTAAATATCTATAGAAAAAAAGTTTTTTTTAGTCTCAACAATTAAAATAGTATATTTTAAATTTATCCAAATTTTCGCCTCTTCAGGGAAAAAAAACTAGAGACCATATCTTTCCTCCTAGTTGTCCGATCTTAACGATTTTTTTTTTGTTTTTTTAGGAAATTCCATAAAATTTTAAAAAAACCATTGTGAAAATGTGTTTCAGCGTTGATATAAAGTTGCACTTCCGGTTAGCCGATTTTAAGGAAAAAGTTGCCGTCACATCTAAGGCATATACCTATCTTAAATACGTAATATCAGTTTCGTAGGACTTTTCGTTTTTGAGCTAGACTGCTAACATACAAACACACAGACACACAGACCGTTTTTCGGGACTTGGTCATTTCGACTCAGGGTACCTCAAAACGTCTATTTCCGTTGAAAACTCAGATTCAAAAATTTTCCCGATCGCAATACTTACACTTACTATGTATTACATATATACGTAAGTGAAAGTAAAAAATATATAATTTCAAACAAAATTCATGTTATTTATTATTGCCTTTATTTTTACATGATTTCAAGTTTATTATTTATCAATTGATTGATTTTTTTGCGCAAATTTAGAAAAAATATAGAATATGGTATTAAATGTGTTATAATGCATCAAAAATTACGAAAATCAAAAGGCGCTTCCTGTAAATTAGACGAAGTAAATTTCTGTTAAGAAAAAGCAAATCAGCTTTCGTTTGTAGTTTCTTTTAAAGCTCTTAAATAGGAATTATAATGGGAATAAAAAATTGCGATTTTGGATACTTGATTTCATTAGAGGATTTTTTTTCCGGCTTTTAACTAAAGCCTTCTCAGAATTTACTTCAAATTCAACATCATCTCGCTAAGATTCGCAGGAAAGCCGAATAACGGCTTTTCCAATCCACATCAATCACTTTTAGACTATATTCATTTTTAAGCAAGAAATTAAGAAAACCCTTTCAATCATTTTTAGTTTATATCTTTGGAGCCCAGTAAATTTAGAATTTGATATAAAGAAAATTAATAATTGGTTGTAAATGTGGAGATTAGTTTCTCATCGAATGCAGAACAAACCATAACAAGTCCCCTCAAATCCCATGTCCGCTTCTGTCCAAAGTGGAGGGTCAAAGTTGGCCACCTGGAACTTTCTGTCTTATGTTATGTTTTTTCTTATATCTCCTTCAAATACCATCATTCTTGAATTCTTAAAGTACTAATATAATCGGATGCTCGTTTTGAATTCTATTGAAGTTCACCTGATTAAACAATGATAAACAAGCTGTAAATTGATTTTTTTGGGATCAAAACAAGCGAAATTTTCTTGATTCTAATTCTGTCATACCTCATAACTTTGAAATTAATGACAAATAGAAAATAATGTTCCTTATGTTTTTTTGTAGTCCTGAGCAAGTGAAATGTTCGAAAAATTGTTTTTTTTAATATTTGCCGAAAAATGGTGGAGATGTTATTTTTTAATAAATAAGTCGCAATATCAAAGCTGAATTCCATCTTGGACTATTCCGAATGGATAGGTAGTTATGGTCTAGGAGCTACTGATCATTTCATTTAACCAACGAACTTATACAGTTAGTAACCACTTTAAATTTTTGAAAACTTTGATCTGGACACACAACTTCGATCAGTCGGTTCAAAGCCGTTGCTCTCTATACGAAAATTTAAATTAAATTGGCGACATTTGACATTTCATTTAACGGTAGAACTGACTGCTGAAATTTTGATATGATGTAGAATTCACCTCGACCGATTATGTAATCAGTTGCTTTTTGAAAACTCAAAGATATCAAATAAGCCCAGTAGAATGTGGATAAAAAACAAATAGCCTCTCTTCCAATTTCTCTTCGGTTTATTATGTTTTTTAGGTTGTTGAATCTGAATTTGAAGTTTTAAGACGAATTTTTTTTATTGCATTCCAAGATATATGCGAATAACAGCGAAATTTTCGAACTTTTTATAATGTTTTGGTCATTTCTCCGAAACTATATATTTTATCGAAGTTATTACTCTAACAAAGTTAAATAGCATATTCTATATATTTATTCCATAGCTTTTTAATGTAAGACCAACAGGTGAGGAGTTACAGCAAGTCAACTGTTAACTTATTTCACAAGAAATAGCTGTTTTCATTGATTTTTCCCCAAAAGTCAAAATCTATGCATCTCTTGAAGAAATATATTACAATCATTTTGAAACAGCATTAGATTTTCTATATATCTCATGTAGATACGTTAATATGTGAAAAGGTAACAGCGGCTGTTAATGCGCGCGGCATTCAAATTAAGCTTACTTTGTCTTTTTATTCTACTAATTTAACTACATTTATAATAGAAATCTGGTGCGCGCAACACACAGCTTTCACTTACCGCTCAACTTTGAATAGAAATTATTTTCTGGCCATGTGGAGCTATTATAAAATTTTTGAATTGCATTTTCAACTGTGCTAATGCTAAACAATTACAGCTAACAAATCATTAAAATAACAAAAGTCATATTTATTATATCACCGGTTGATTATGGATTCCACACTCCGTTGATTATGGACTGTACGACTATTAGTTATTAAACTGTTATTTTCCATTGCAAAGTTTAATTAAGAGATTTGCATTGTCTGTCATAGACCGATCAAAAGTTGCCACACTAATTGTAAGTGTGTAAGTAAGTGGAATATCACAAAAAGAAATTTCATCAAACTATTCACTAATTTAATTGTCTAAAAGGTTACTTGATGTATTGAATTTGATATTATAAATTATTATAAAATATTAATGATATTATAAAATATTGTTATATTTTACTTCTTTCACACAAGCGCAATGAAATAGTAGTGGATACTGTTGGAATATCACAAAGGGAAGATTCATCAAATTATTCACTAATTTAATTTTCTAAAACATTAGATGACAATATTTCGGTATCAACCTAACTATTTAAATATAATATCGGATCTAGAATTATTTAACTACAGTAAATGTATTTAAGGTCATAAATGATTTTATATTTTACTTCTTCTTTCACATAAGTACAATGAAATAGTTTTTTGAACAATGTGATTGCCTTGACTAGTTGGATTTTAAATACTTTTTTCAACCTTTTTAATTAACAAAATATTTTAAAAGTTTACATTCTGTAAGTAAATTTCATTTAATTTTCTTGAAAACATGTGATTTACGTTAAATAATATTAGTTTTCAAAAATCATTATTTATGATTTTTTTGCCACTCTCCGTTAACGTCTACAACTTTCTATATTAGATATTGTTTTTTCTAAAATCTTCCGCTTTCCACCGATATATTATACGTATACCTTCCGACCGGTATTTCCGGAGATTCATTTTCGGCCTGGATAAGCATTTTTTATTTTGTTCTCCTTTATTCAATTATCAAATTCTTTCAAGAGTTATATTTAGTATTTTTTCGTAACTTTGAATAATGTGAGATGATTAACTTTTTAAAATAAACCATATTAAAGGTACTTTAGGGGAAGACGCATATGAACATTAGGCATTTAAGCCCTGTAAAGTGACATCAATGGGGTTAAGACCTAATTGATATTAAATACAACTTAATTATACAATGATTCGCCGAATTTAATCAAAATCGTTATAGCCGTTTTTGAGAAAATTGTGAAAATGTGTTTCAGTGTCGATAAAAATTGGCACTCCTGGTAAGCCGATTTTAAGGAAAAAGTTGCTATCACATCAAAGGCATATATCTATCTTAAATAAGTGATGTCAGTTTCGTACGACTTTTCGTTTTTGAGCTAGACTGCTAACATACACACACAGACCATTTTGCGGGGCTTGATTATTTGGACTCAAGGTGCCCCAAAACGGGTATTTCCGTTGAAAACTCAGATTCAAAAATTTTCTCGATCGCAATACTTAACCTTACTATAGATTACGTATATATGTGAAAGTAAAAATTGAGTAAAATTAATTGCAGGTATGCAAAATAATCTAATGATTTAATTTTCGCAATTAAAATATGGAATTTTCAAATACATACCTAGGCCTGTAAATTTCATACTTCGAGCTGTAATTTTATAGAAAAACCTACTGCTCCCAGTAAGAAACATAAATTGATACCAATAAGGTGTGTATTGCAACAAATTGAAAGCTGCACTTCACCCATTGTATCGTCTTAAAAAAGTAATGTAAACAAAGATATAAGCCTAGAAGATTGTGTTCGAAGGTTTATTAATAGATTTCAAATGGTAATTGACTTGTTAGAAAATTGTTCAATTTTTGATATTTGTCCATTGGTCGATGCACTCTTCAGTGACGCGGTTGCAAGAGTAGCGCAGGGATCTCTTGGAGTCCTGCTTTTCCCTCTATAGCTGGAAGGACAAGCCTGGTTTGGGGTTCCCTGCCTCACTGTATTACTGTGTTTTTTGTTTTTGTTTTTAATTTACTTATTTTTAAGTTATTTTATTTTTTATTGTATATTCTCTTTTATTAAATAACGAAAATGAAATAAACGAGGATAAAACAAAATATATGGTTAGCTGCAAAAATGGCGATACTACTGGTGATATCGATATAGATGGTAATATCTTTAAACTGGTAGATAAATTTAGGTATCTAGGTTCTACGATAACTAGAAAAAACGAAATTGAAGAAGAGATTAAGGCTAGACTGAAGGCGGGAAATGCTTGTTATTTTTCTGTGACAAAACTACTTAGTTCGCGCCTCTTGTCCCGGAACTTAAAAATTAGAATCTATAAAACTATTATCTTGCATACAGTTCTTTATGGATGCGAAACTTGGCCGCTTACATTAAAGGATGAGCAGCGTCTTAAGGTTTTTGAAAATAAAGTATTGCGTAGAATATTCGGACCGAAGAAGGATGAGTTAACCGGAGTGTTCAGACGGTTACACAACGCCGAATTGCGTGAACTGTATCCGGGTAATATAATTGAGGTAATTTCATCGCGGCGAATCAAATGGGCTTGTAAAGTTGTTGTTCTTAGTAACGAGAGAATTCCTAAAAGGTTACTATTTGCTGTGCCGAATGGTGTAGTCCGAGCGGGTAGACCGAAGCGAAGGTGGGAAGATTGCACTAAAGCCGATCTGAAGGGACTGGGTTTGGACGACGAACGGTGGAGGGAGGTGTGAAATAAGCGATTGGTGGTGTCGGCATCGAACCTTGGGGTTCGCTAAGCCTTTTATTATTATTATTCTCTTTTATTATTATTTAGTTGTTATTTTGCTTTTGTATATTTTTTGTTTTCTCACTGTAATTATTGTCCGTGTGGCAGATTGTTTTATTACTGAATAAAAAAAAAAAATAATAATAACGGTTGCTCTAATGTTAAAGTTGGAGAAAATCCAGAGATGTAAGAAAATATGCTTTAGTTATCGGCCAGAAAAGAAAGTGAAGTACTAAAGTTTGCGATATTTGATTTCTATAAAAATTCGCATTTAAGAGTTTGAAATTAAATACAATTTTAATTTGGAACAATTAAATTGCCGGGGGCCATTGGAACGAACGCTGGTACATGTGTCCAATATTCTTTGATGTAATATCACCGAAAAAGAAATTGATTAAAATCGCCGATCCAGTCTGTAAACTCCACGTGTTAGTCTGGCGACATTTTTTTAAAGAAATATTTTATATTGAAAAAAAAAATAGACGGTATTTGTTACATTTATTCTTAAAATAGAAGTAAAGAAATATTTAATTTTTTATATCTAACATAAGTAATTGGAAACCTAATAAATTTTAAATCATGTGTTCATTCGAAAATTATTATGCTACAAACAGACCAATATATAATATAATGATTTAAATTTTAGGGTTATTAATATTGAGAGAAAAAAATTGTGATTTAAAAAAAAAATCCACCAACTCTCTTACCTACCGGCCCAAAGATCCTAACCGTAATCCTGATATACCTTAATTCTTTATCCACAGCGGCTTAAGTCCCCTCAATTGTTCCATTACACATCTAAATGAACTTTCCTCTGACCATAGTCCTCTAATTCTTAAAGTTCACTTGAACCCGTTCCCAAACCTTCTTCACCTTCATTTATTAGTGGCCCGGTTAACTGGGACCTTTTCTGCCAAATCGTCTCCGATAAAATTGGTCTCAATATATCCTTAAAAACTTTCGAAGACCTTGATAGTACCGTATATTCCTTTACCAACAATCCAACAAGCCGCCTGGACTGCCTCCTTCCCAAAAGACTCCAGAATCCCTAAAAAGACCATTCTACCCAGACACCTCCTTGAAATAATCCACACCAAACGCCGTAACCAGATTATTATGACAACGTATTTGACATCCTACCGACTACAGTACTTATAATTATTACTGCAAAAAAAAATTATGGCTAAAGAATTAGCTATCTTCAGATCACAATATTTTAATTCCTATCTCTCCTCCCTCTCTGATCGTGACCATTCTCTTTGGAAAACCCACAACGAAAATCTTGAACCCTCATCAAATTTCCCATCCACGGCTCCTGAGCAGCATCTAACGAAGAAAAAGCCGAAGAGTTCGCCGAACACCTCTCTGATACATTTATTCCCCATCCGGAATCCTATCTCGCCCACACCGTAACAGTAGAAAAATTCCTCACATAACCTATCCCACATTCCGCGCCCCCTAAAGCGATGCATCCTTCCGAAGTGAAATTTCAATTACAAAAGCTAATCCCCCGTAAATCTCCTAGATATGATCTCCTTACCCCTCAGATTCTTTGGGACCACAACTTCCATCAAAAGCAGTCACATTCCTTACATATACCTACAAATGAATTCTACGTACCACCCACTTTCCTCTATTGTAAAAACACTCCACCATTATCATTTTTCCAAAACCAGGCAACCCTCTCAACAGCTTTACAACCTATTGACCAATTAGCCTACTCCCAATCCTTTCAAAAGTCTTTGAAAAGATCCTACTGAAAATAATCCTACCCATAATAGAATCCCAAAACTTTCCTATCCATCAATTCTGATTTCGTTCTCAACACCCTACTGTTCAACAAGGACTCCGAGTCGTCTAACATATATCCTCAGTCCTAGAAAAGAAGCAATATTGTTTGGTTGCATTTCTGGACATAGCGCAAGCATTTGACCGGGTATGGTGCTAGAGTGCTCTTCAAGCTTAAATTCCACCTACCATAGTCCTGATATCTAATACTCCTATCCTGCCTCTGTGAGCTCCTTTCAAGTTCATTGTGGTACTGAATTCTCCGACTGTTATTGAATCGAAGTGGGAGTTCCGCTGTACAGCCTTAGATCTGAGGCTGGATCCTAAAATAGCGACCTCAAACCTACAATGAACATCTTCCTCATTGAACACCGGTGTAAGAAATGGTGCATTAAGGTAAACAAATCCAAATGAAAAGACATTACCTTCACCCTTTGTCATCAATCCTGTCCACCAGTTTATTTTAACTCCATCCAGCTTTCTTTCAGACACAGTGCGGTAACTCGGTTTTCTCTTAGACAAACGACTAACCTGGAACCCTCATACTTAACTCAAAAGACAGGAACTTAACCGACATTTGACCAACTAGACAGACTACTAAATATAAAATATAAACTTTCTATCGAAAACAAATTACTGATCTACAAGACGATCCTGAAACCTATTTGGATTTAAATAGCCAAATTTTCTAATATCAAATGCATCCAATCCTTTCAATCCAAAGTCTTCCGAACAATAGTCGATACTTCTTTCTATGTAACCAACAAAGCCCTATACCAAGACCTCAACATCCCATTTGTCCTAGACCTTATTCCAGAAAAATTCTCCAAATTACAACAGAACATTACGTATCATCCAAATCCTCTAGCACAATCTCTATCAAGCACTAGCCATCCATATAAGCCCCGCGACCTTTTGTAGTTTATATATATTGAAGCTGTGGCAATGATTAGATTATCTACACAAGACATGAATGTATCTGGCTAAAGTGCTCTCGATCAATCTCCACTAGCTTTAGTACCAGTAAAGCGGTTGAGAGGGTAACGCAGGGATATCCTGGAGTTCTGCTTTCGCATCCGTAATTGGAGGGACAAACCTGCCTCGGAGATCCCTCGCCTGATTGTAAATGTATATGCATTTGGTTTTTTTAATTTACTTATCTTTAAGCAATTTTATTTCATTTATTGTATATTCTTTTTGATTATTATTTAGTTATTGTGCACCTGCTGATTTTATATTTTGTTTATACATATTGCGTGAATGTGATCTTACCTCCCTATAACCCATGTCCAAGTGACAGAATGTTATATCATTCAATAAATAAAACAAATAAATAAATTATATACATTAAATACAATATATAATTACCTGAATCGTAAGGAAAATAATCAAGCCTGTATATGCCGCATTAGTAAATCCTGTGCAAAGGCATGTTGCAACTTGGTAGAGTAGTCCTGTTAAATAGTTATAAGCTAGAAACGGAGGAATCCAAGAAGCTTCTACGAACTTTTGTGGACTTTTAAAAATGAAATATCTGACGAGTAGATTAATTGTGCGTAGAGGGTAATAACCACAAAAGACATACATAAATATTTTAGGGAGTTTGGTTGACGATTTGTTAACTCTGAAAAATATTTATAATCATTAAATTATTATAAAGAAATTGCAGTATTATAAAAAAAAAGTATTACATTATTATAAAATTAATTTGAATATTATTTGAACTTTATTAAGTTAGGCCTGTTATATAATTAAATTTTATTTTCACATCCCATTAACCTATTCACTACCAAAACTCTCAAATACAATTATATACACTAATTTGCAATACTTAAGAATTTAAAAGTACCTTATTCTAAATGAAATATACTACTCGAAAATGATTAGGGATATTTCTATTTGATTCGTTTCAATTAAAATACAGTATTATTTTTAATATTGTTCTATTATTTTTTTTATTGGGAATTCATCTATTTGTTGGTAAATATAAAATAGAATTTGTTTGAGAACAAGGTTAGGGAATAATAACACTGTATGAGATTTCGATAAGATTATGGAATGAGAGAAAGGAACAGGGTTTTGCGTGGAGGATAATAGGTTTTGAGAGGAATCAATGACAGATAAGTCTAACCAAGTATCAGTGGACTGGGTATGATGGGTGGGTTGAAAAGATACAATACATAAATAGGGAGAAAAACATGCCAATAAGGTATGTTCTGTCTGGAGAGGCTTTTGCGCAAGACGAAGACTACGACCAAGACTCGTCTTGGTCTCGCATTAAGGCAACACTACTTTACATATATTTACCTACCTAAATATTTATATATTTTTGCAAATTGTCTTTATTAAATGTCATTAATATAAAGATAGATAGATAGATATTTTATTTGTTTTAAGCGGGTTCCCCATACAAATAAAGCCTAGCTTGGCTATTGTACAATAATATGGTTTTACAAATTTACATACATATAATTTAAATATAAATAAAAGTTACAATATTTAACGTTTAGAATGGGTTTCACAAAACATGAATAACAATGAAAATTAGAAACATAAAACGATTACTGCATAATAATAGTTATATGAACCAGTTACTATGATAGAAACAATAAAAAATAAAAATATTTATAAATATAAACAAAATATTACTCTTAAGATAAACTAAAAACAAACGCTTAATAGAACATGGCTATGATCAACAATTTTGTGTATGCACTTTGTGTACTCCCATCATATAATAGTAAATTTTATTTAACTTATCTATACAATCGATATTCAGTATAGATTCGACGTTGCGGTTATCAGAAGATTCTGAGATGAAGTTTTGAAGGAATTTTTGTCTATAGTCATTGTATGCCGGGCAGTAAAGGAGGATGTGATGTAGACTATTGTAGATAAATTGGCTGCATGATATACAGGTTTCTTGAGACTCAATCGAAAATGTTCTTTTTTTTTTTTGCATAGATTCTGATGCATAAGTTCTTTGCAACTCTTAATTGACTAACACATTTCAATTTCTTTATGTGGACTTTGAGTGTAAGATACGTCTCAGAATCGGGAGCATTGTAACTGCATAGCATTCTGTATATAGGGTAGTTAGTGGAGTTGATAGTTCTTTGTATGTTGGCTGAGAAATAATAGTTGTGTGCTTTTTCAAGGATGTCGTCTTTGTATCGAAGAAGTCCGTTTGTGAGGTGAACAGAAAGCTCTTCTGCAAAGGCATTAAGCTCGGCTATTGCTCTAAATTGAGACACCCAATTGAAGTATGTCAGGCTTATCCTTGTCTAATATTTTAAGTCTATTATAACAAAGTTTTGGGAGTCGCTCTTCTGGCATGGACTTCTGGGTTGGTCCATAGATTTATCATCTTTTTTATTACTTTCATTCTTAATGGTTCTCTTCCTGTTTCGAGGCGGACTATGTAGTTTGGGGTATTTCTGGGCCAACCAAACAGTTGCTTTAAAAATTTAAGTTGGGCCGTTTCGATTGCCTCAAGATAAGTCATTAATATAAAGATTTTTCATTTATTTGTCATAATCTAATGTTTTCTTCTTTATTTTCCATTTATTCAATTTAATCCAACCATCATCATCATTATTCCTCTTTTTAAAATGGCATTATTATTCTATTATAATATTATTTTAACACATTAGATGCTTTACGTTTATGGCCAATATTTTGTTTTGTTTAGTAATATAATTTTGTTCAATAAGTTTAGTGAAATATCTTTAAAATATCCACGAAAATGGGCCCCTCTAAAGTAGGTTGAAGTTCTGGCCCGCATCCCAGACCTTGGCACCCTTCAGAATCGCTGAGCTATAAACAGATAATTTATAAGCAATCAATTATCTTGAAGTAAACATACTAAATTAGCGACACAGTCATCATACTAGGATATAGTTTGAATAAAATCTCCTACCTAAAAAGTTAAGAAATTAATTTTCTGCTCTTAAAATAACAAACATCGGAAACGCAAAATACATCTTTGACTGAATGAGATATTTTAAAGAATGTGTTACTTTTTTCATGAAGTATTCAGGTTTCATGAAAACAATCCGGAAATCATTGATGGAATCGTAATATCATAACTTGTTCCTCACGCAATGCAATTCAATTGAGATGACAAACCAAAAAATGGCACCTGCTCCATTTTATCTTGAAGATGAAAATTACATAAATACTCATGTTCTTATATTCTTTTTCGAAGGTATTTTTCAAGCTGGTCATTGAGAATCAGCATTTGGCTTAATTTTGTCACAATTGGACTTACTTTAAAACTGAATAGTCAGAAAATAATAAAACATGAAAAATGTATAAAAAATAATGCATACTCATGACGGAAATGAGTCATATTAACAACGTAAAGAGTAAAACCGTAATATTTAGGGTTATTTACCTTTTCAATATGTCTGAATTTTTTTTGTCCGTAAATGCTTCCATCGATAATTTTTCAAGATTATCAAGGATATCAACAGTTTCTCTTTGATTTAGAGCTATACTGAGAAATTTACAAAATATCTGGCTAAGAGCTATCAAGAAGTGCAGTGTTTGTAATTTTGCAATTAATGGTTTCGGTTCAAAATAGGCAAATAAAATTAGAGAAGTCCCAAAAATTATATAAGCACAAGTCTGATAAATCACATATGCCTTTAAAAACAACCCGCCGTTTACATATACCAATCCGGAGAAATTCAGGCAAAATAGCATAAACTGTTTTGGCTCCATTATCCGTTGTATCTGAAAAAATAAAATAAAAGCAAATATGAAATTAAAATTATATCTAGCTTTTTTTTATTTAGGTTTAAACTATCAAATAAGGGGTTGATGATCTTGACTGTAAACTTAATTTGAGTTGGTCGTGAGAAACTTTTATTTTAATAATTTTATAGAAATTAAATAATATATATAAAAATTTCCTTTTTAACACTTTCAATACATCAACACATACAGTGGCATATTACAAGGTAGACCAGGCCCCCATACCGTGCACCCTCTTTCCCACATCCTTATAAATTGTATATCGTTGTGTTCCATGTAACTATTTACTAAAAAGAAATAAATGTTGCAATAAAAAAAAAAAACTGGTGCGGTGTGCGCATCACACAACCTTCACTTACCATTCTCTTCTTAGTAGAAATAAGTATTTTCATACAAAGCTAAGTGAAAGTAAAAATTATAAACTGTATATTTATTTATATTTCATTGTATTCTTGCAAACCAAAATCCTTCGTAAAATCCTCACTGCTCCTTACTTTGTGACAAATAAAATCATCCATAATGACCTTAGTATTCCATATGTTTCTGATCTGGCCCAATCCAGATACCTATCCTTCCATAACAAACTTTAGAACCATCCAAACCCTCTCGTTTCTAATCTTCCTTTCTCTTCGATCCCTGACAACCCTCCGAGGCGACTGAAAAGAAGATGGCCTCGAGATCTCCTTTTGCAAATACATTTTTAGAGTGCTGCCAGTAGGTAGTTTCTAAACAAGTGGTTACATGGTATTACATTCTTTTGTTCACATTTACTGAATGTATTTCTATTTGAAATACAGTTGTAAATATCATCAATAAAAAAAAAAATAAATACAAATATTTCATTGTGGGTATTTTTATTGGTATGAGTACTCTCATATATACAAATTTTAATATTTATATTTCTGTAATCTATACAATTAAATATTAAATAATACCAACAAAGTATTTATGAAAACCACATATGTATATTTATATAATATTGTCAGAGTCCGTATTATATTAATCTCATGATACGTTTGGAAGCTTGTTCTAATCTTTCGAGCGAGCTTGGGTGCGCTCGTATTCCTTTGGTTCCTCAACAACTATTCTCTGTTACGTTCTCTTATTTCTCCTTTAGTTATATATCAAATTCTTTCATATTTTATATTTAACCATTTTTCGTATTAGAAATTAATATGAGATGGTAAATTGTTTCAAATAAAAAAAAATAAAAGTACTTTAGGGGAAGCTAATATTGAAAATTAGCCATTTAAGCCCTGTTAGAGAACATCAATCAGAATAATAACCACATTTTATTTAAAACTGCTTAATTTCACGCTGATATGATGAACTTAATCAAAATCGTTAGAGCGGTTTTCGAGAAAATCGTAAAAATGTGTTTAGTCCATTATATAAAGTGCCACTTCCGGTTAGATTTTGGCGTAAAATTTGCTGTAACATCCCTAGCATATAAAAACCTTAAATATGCAATTTCACTTCCGTACGACTTTTTATTATACTAGACTGTTAACACACACACACACACACAGACCATTTTGCGGGACTTGGTTATTTGGACTCTGGGGACCTCAAAACGTGTATCTCCGTCGAAAACTCAGATTCAAAAATTTTCACGATCGTAATAGTCGTGGTACTCAATCTTACTATGTATTACATATATAGGTAAGTGAAATTAAAAAGTGGCCTCACTGCCGTCTAAAGATGGCGGACCGAAGACTTTGACATCAGTTAGTTTCTGGATCATTGAGAACCAGCATTTGGCTTAATTTCGTCCTAATTGGACTTACTTTAAAACTGAACCGTCAGAAAATAATAAAATATGAAAATTTTTTTAAAAAAATAATTGGATTAGTCAATAAAAACACAAAGTCAATTATTAAAAAAAACGCATGGAAATCAAACCTCGTTTGTAATTAAATGGCCAACAATAACGAAAAATGCCCAAAAATAAAACATCTGGAGAAATTCTCCAGGAGAATACAATTTTTTTATACACTTCTACCAAGAAGCCAATGTTCACACTAAAAAATTTGGCTGCACAGCCCCAAAATGGCGTCCAAACATGGTGGACTGGCGACTTTGACTTCAGTTACTTTTTTGGTCACTGAGAATCAGCATTTGGCTTAATTTCACCATAATTTTTATTTTCTTTATTTTGTTCCGAGGTGTTAAATATTCTTTAGCACAAAGAAAGATTAAAAGAGCGATTCTAAATATCCTTCTAGGTAACCGAAAATAATTGTTAGTATTTGATCTCAAAATGGTAACAAACGCGAAAGTGAATCCAAATATTGGAAAAATGCAATAAGGAAGGAACAACCAAAATAACTGAAAAGAAAACAATATTTGGCTGTACGAATCTATAGAAGATAGAGAGAGTATTCCAAAGAGCTACTAAAATGGGGTCAAATGCTGGTAGTTCGGATAAGATTAAAGGGATGGTGGAGGTATATTATGGTGAAGACTATTTTATTTTCGCGTAACTACTTAAGTTGCATATTAAAGGAATGGGGTGGCAGAGCAGGCGCACAGCACTCGGCGTATCTCTGCAACCTGATAACCGGAGTTATAAATGATAAAACAGCTACGAGTTCGAGTCCCGGTGCCCAGGATGGCAGAAAGGGGAACATATGAGTTCTTCTGAAAAGAAAACCTATATTTGCACAATCCAAGATGGGCTTCACTAAGCAGATAGAAAGCTATATCCCTTTCTCAGTAGACTTCTCTATAACCTGTATTACAGTGAAAATAATTCCAATGTGCATAGGAGTGTCCAGAAGGAGGTTTTAGCGCAAGTTGTGTCATCAAAATTAATGAGGAGTGCACTTTTTCACGGGGTTTTCGATTTTTGAGGGAGGCATGTTTCGACGAGGTTATGAATTTTCAAATCAAAATACACGAGGTATCATTGAATAGACCACAGGATGTGTAATGGTATATAATCTACGAATACTCAAATTCTAATTTCATATGCACTGTTTTTAAGAAGAGGAGAGGAATAAAATATCATGGGAGGAATGGGGAAGCTTTATGCGTCATCGGTTTTAGGGGACTGGATGGGCACCCCTGAATGTGCAACTTCAGTTTCTGAATCCCTCTGGCCATCAACAATTCTAATTATTCTAGCCTCTACGATTCTAGAATCGAGCTTCATTCGCACACTGAACAGCAGGGCCGTCACGTGGGCGGGGCGACTAAGGCGGTCGACTAGGAGGATGCCACGGATTGGAGAGAAACATTAAAACCAATCAACAAAAAACCCGATTGATGTAATACTACTTAATTACTATTAGTATCTATAATAATACTCTTTTACGATTATTATTAAAACTTTACTCAAGTAATAATCATTATTAAATATTTTTGTCAAAATTATTGCGTTATATTATGGCTTCATCATTTTTATCTGAGCCTAATCTCGACCAATATCGAGCTAAACTCATCTGACAGCTGTCATGTCCTACTTTCTACGATTCCTAATTTTGGTGTCATAATGATGTTGTTGCTGAATGTACGTCTGTTAATGAAAACCCTAGGGAAAGGCCACTAAGATGATATGGGCTTACCTGCCGCATGGATTAACACAGGAACACAATTGAAAGTATGGGAATGAGACCATTGCGTAAATGACCAAGAGGACGTCCAAGAATTGTTATTTCACTCACGTGGAACAAATAGGGAGACGCACTGGGAAGACCCTGGAAGAAATGAGAAATCTTGCCAGAAACAGGACCGGTGGATGGAAGTAGAGCCCTTTGCTGAAAGGCAAATAGATAGAAGAAAAATAAGATGAAGATTTGGTTATAAATTAATAGGGAATAGATCATCAGACTCTCAGCATTATTTTATAACTAGTTTTTGCTCCTGCGCCCCAATCAGTTGCATTGGCGTTATTTACGCATTATCGCCAATCATGAGGGGTAAGTTAAATTTAGCCGCCCCCTCCTATTAAAAGCCAACATTTTATATGAATATTTTAGGCAATGTATTTCAAAATATGATACATCATAAGAAATAATTAACTCGAGTTTTAAACTTAATTAAGGTCAAAAGAACTAAAAAGTAGAAACAAATATTTTTACTTTAACTAAAAAAAATATATATTTCTCGAAATTTGGTGTCATTTAATTCGACGGCACGGAGAAACCGCCTTTCTGGTTCTGGATCCGCTACTAGTTATATTTTTTAAAAACTTAATTGCCAATCGTGAAAAAGGGATGGACCATCAATATACTTTACGCCATCCTTTATGTATATTTTTTATTTGGGTTTAGAACCATGTTATCCTTTTTCATCATTCCCGTTTACTGTAATCTTTGAATATGGATAAATATCAATATATAAAATACTTGTGCTCAAGTATGCGATGATTTGATGCTGTCAAGTGAAGACGCGGAAACTATAACAATTAGATAAAACAACGTTGATGAAAGCCGGTAAAGAATTGAATCTCGAAATAAATACAAATAAAACTGTTCACAAGTTATTCATAAGTACTATGACAGATGTTTTATATAAGATATATGAAAATCTAAAACAGTTTTTCTCCTAAACATTTCCTTTATTAATCTGTACGCGACGCTTCGAGATTTTTCTTATGTCACATCGCCTCAATACAACAAGAAATATTTTATTTTTTATTTATGCGTGTATATTTTTAACAATGCATATATTTCTATAAATCATCACATTACTGACCGGTTGCCAATCTTACCCATTTATCATCTTTGTATCATCTAATGTATCAATAATATAATATATTTAAGACGTCAATTTTTTTGTTATTTAAAATATCCCTAAAAATGCAATACATTTTTAAGTATTATTATTATTATTGTACATATGATTTTGTTATAAATAAATATCTTAATTCACCTTAAATTTAATGTGAACCCTTCTCTAGGGAGACCCTAGTTAACACTGATCTAATTTATGTAATAGGGGTCAAATTCTAAGAAGTTTATTATTTCATATATTTAA